ATCTCAGCATTTCTAATGTTCGTGCAAACAGCTGATATGAATACAAACCTGTCCTCACTTCCTGCAGGCTAACAGAGAGTGTGAGGAGGTCAGAGAGGAGGACAGAGGGAGCAGATCTCCTCCTATAGAAATGTCTGTTCTCTCCACTTCCCACTGCAGACACTTCTCAGAAGACAGTAAGCAAACACTGAGATACGACTGAAGCTTTGAGTTCAGAAAACAGTATCTTTGGACTTCAAACGCTAAAATAACTAGAGTAAAGTCAAAGTTTAACATTAGTGTTTGTTTCTTAGTATAACCTGTTGCCTTCTTAAGAAACAGGAACCAGTGTAGGGTGGAATTATTTTTAAAGCCACAAGCGATGATAACTCTTTTGAGAAGGAAGTTAAGATCTGTGAACAGAGAGAAAGAACTTCCATATTTAAAAAAAGATGAACATTTCACATGAAGCAGCTCTCATGCTTAAACGATGATCATGTGAAAAAACATGAAAGTAAACTCTAAAAGGTTTCAACTTTTCTTTGTTATCTTGCAGACTGAAGAGGACCCGAGTAAACTCACCTGCTTTGAGGAGGATGTGTCCCTCCGTGCAGGGTCCTCGCCCCACAGCTCCCCCCTGTGGTGATCCAGATAACGTCCTCTACTTCGTCCTTTGGGTAGAAACGAGTTTGGACGGTTTGGACACGCAGAAGACGCTTTTTCTCCTCTCTACTCCCCTGTTACTAAATCAGATGCTGCTTCAACTCAATTAATTTGTAGGGTTTTAATTAGTAAACAAAAGCTATTTGGGTTTCACACAGTCTTTATTAATAATAATAATAATAATAATAATAAAGCTTTATTTATACAGCAATTTTCATACAACACATGCAGCTCAAAGTGCTTTACAAAATGTCAAGTCAAAGAAAAAAAAGAAAAATATTTCCCCTCAGATTATTTGTTAAGAACTTTAAAAGGTACATGCAGCAAAATATAAAATATTATCAGGTTAATCGACACAAGGAGGTAAAATGTATGATAATAAAAATTAAATAAAATAAATAATGACAGATCAGACACAAGACAACTAAACTGATGAAACAATATAAAATATAAAACCCCACAAAACAAAGTGAACATATAGGTACAACAGAAAAAAAGAAGAAGATAATGGTAATAAAAATGCCATAATTCTAATAAAGGTTAAAAGGTTAAGAAATAAAAAAGACCAACTTAATAAGAAATATTGCTATTGAAGCATGTTAGATTAATAAAATAAGATTAAATCCTTTAAGACCTATACAATAATACAGTGCTGCTGTGAACCTGGAAATGTTGAGTACACCAAAGTTTTATATTAGAAGTGTAAAGTACGGGTCCCCAGAACATAGAAACTGCCGGGTGCTAACCTGCATATGTTGGGCAATTTGTACATTCAGCAGATGTTGCGTTAATAAGCATGAATTACCATTATAGGGGAAACAAGTAAGAAAATGGCTTGGCTGAATTGGACAATTGTGCAGTGGTTTTGGGGTTAATGGAGGAGGCATTTTTCAGGATAAAAAATAGTTGTTTCCATATTTTCACTCCCGGTTGACTGATTTTGATAAATATAGAAAAAGTAATAAAATTACAGTATGTCATATCAATTAAGTAGCAATAATAGTTAATTATGTGTTATTCAAATGTCATAGTATAGAAAATCATAACAAAGTGTTAGAGTACAATACGTACAAATATATTATTACATATCCCTGTTTTTTCTTCAAATTTTGTATTTTAAAAGTTTCTCTTTGATATTATATGTTTTGGCTTTTCCTTTGACACAAATCATCAAGACAAAGTCCTTTCATTTGCAAAAATACTGCAACATCTTGGTTTGTCCTAAAAAATGTCAAAACATTATATATTGTAGTATTTCATAAAAAATACAATAGTTTTAGCATTCGTTTTCATTTTTTTACCTTGTAGGATTGTCATTTTATGCCATAAAAATGTATATTAAGAAATGTTAAGTATGTTATAACGATGTCTTTGCAAATGTTGTGGAAAATGTATTAAAGGGGACCTATCATTCAAAATGCACTTGTGAACGTCTTTTATACATGAATATGTGTCCCCGGTGTGTCAGGGAACTCACCAAGTGTCAGAAAACACAACCCTCTCTCTTTTCCGCCATACCCAAATCTCTAAAAACGGGGCTGCAACGGATCTGATACAGACTGATACAGATTTGAAATTGTTCTGACGTCAGAAACGGGGTGCTCCGCCTATATGGCCAACTCTCCACCTATCAGGGGAATGAGAGGTTGCGTGGCATGGTAACAGCATGGTAACATGACGCTCGTGCCTCGCCCCCCTCCTTTGCAGGGGGGCGTGGTCAGCTGCAGCTCATTTGCCACAGAATCAGCCCTTGCAAAAACAGGGCTGGAATACAGCAAATAGAGCGAAATGAGGCATGGCTAAAATGCATGATCTGTTTGGTATTTTGGAAAAAAAACTTCACAGACATGTTTTATATAGGTATGGCCCTACAATAGATTATTCAAATATAGCATGATAGGTCCACTTTAAACATAAATAAATGTGTAAGCACCGCCTGTGGTGAAACAAGATACATTTAAACTATTCTTCCACAATAATCGCACAATAATTGGGATATAATTTGGGGTTTAAACTGTTACAGTCATTCATCATAATTGAGACTTAACTGTCAACAGTTGTCATTAAATATAACTTCCAGACGCTTTCCAATTATAAAGACGCAGACACACGTGAGAGAAAATGACTGGGCAAAAACAATGAATTAGAACAGACGCAGTCATTTCCATAGTTTAATGAAAATAAACTGGACATGAATTGAACATTGGCAGTTTAAACAGTTTATGGTCTTCATCTTTTACTAAATGTTACAATAAATATTTCCATCCACTAATCTCCTCCAGCTCTGTGTTGTCATGTTGTGTAACTGACTACACTATAAACAGCTTGGGACAATATGGCCGCTACAAGACACAGCAAACACAAATACATATGAACTACTCTCGTCTAATCTTTGTTGTTTTCAATTATTTCACAACACAAGACATCAACAGCTAAACCCAAAACAGCATAAATAATATTCCCTTTTATTGTCCATACAAAAAAAAATACAGTTTAAAAATGTAAATAACAATGATTAGAAATGGAAGACAAACACTTGGTTAATATTTCCCTTTTACAAACTTACAGTGCTCAAAGAAGAAAACAATGACTTGATAAAAACACAACATGTGAGGTTTAAATAAAGAGCTTGAATTATTGATGTGGCACATTACAGATAAACTCACAGAGGAGGAGGAGGAGGAGGAGGATGAAGGTCAGCTGACAGTATAAAAGCTGCATAGAATCAAAATGACAAATCTCTAATGTAGAGAAGACGACTTTAGGAGATTGTGTGCCGTTCTACTCTCAAGCAGAGCCTTATATTTATCCTTTATAGTGCTTCTTTCAAAGTCTTTCGTATTGCATCAAATGTATTCAAAGGAAGCTCTGTGCTTATTGCCAAAATGTACTTTTCCTTTCAAAGAACAACAGTTTAATATGTGACTCTGCTCTCAGTGCAGATCGTAAAGCATGAGTTCTTCTTCACTTTGTATTCAGAGCAGGAGAGAAAACTGAAACCCCTGTCTTTAAAATTAATTTAGCAAATGAGCTACAAAACGTGTACATTTAATATTTCTGCATCTTACAAAATGTGCTTCTTCTTAACACAAAAGTTATTTTGGGGCAAACCTTTTTTTTGTGTGTGAACTCCATTAGGCTCTCCTGCTCCAACACTGCAGTTGGTGTTGCTTCACAGTGCAGACAGTCCACAGTGAGTTCATAGAGTAGTCTCTCCATCCTCCTGAAGAAGCTGTTCACTTTTGGCCCTTCAGTGTTAATCAGTGAATTAAGGCTAAAATTAGAATCATCGGTGCCTCACTCCCATCACTCCTGGACATTTACAACACCCGCCTCACCCGCAGAGCACTCAGCATTGTGGGTGACCCCACCCATCCCTCCACCTGCCTCTTCACCCTCCTGCCTTCAGGGAGGAGGTTCCGCAGCCTGAGGTCGAGCACCACCCGACTAAAGAACAGTTTTTTACACCAGGCTGTCAGGAGGCTGAACTCTCTCCCCTCTCTCCCCTCTCTCCCCCATGCCCCCACTGGACTATAACTCCCCACACACTCAGACACTCAATTCCAGCACCAGACACTTTTTTACGCTGCTATCGACAATCTTGCACTATGTACATTCCCTAAGATATTGAAGTGACTGTTATTTTGTATATATTGTTGTGTTTTATCTTAATGTGTGCATATGTGTAAACGTGTCGTTGATTGTATATATAGAGGATATACACATATTTGTATACATATTTGTATTTTGTATTCAGGATGGTTGTGATTATTGTTCTGTCATTCAACAAGTCGTTTTAGATATTATGTTACCAAAATAGCATCCTGAATGTCAACCTAACCATCGTGCCTCTACATTTACTACTAATTTACTCTTAGTTCTTTCCAAAATGTGCTCTATAGACTGAAATACATTTGAATAATTCACGCTATATGCTGTGTTGCTTAATGTTACATTGATTATTTGTTTTTATTGAGGGCAAACATACTTTATACGTATTATTTTGATTCAAAGATACTGCAGCAATGGACAATACTCTGTTCTTAAAAAACACATCATTTACAAAAAAAAAGAATTGCACAAACGTTGAGCTGACAAAAATAATACAAGATTACTAAAATGAGTTAAAAGAGGAATTTGATTGCACTGTAAAGATAAACGTGACATGTATGCCACTTCATGTTACAAACAAACACAGTTCAAATGTAAATCTTCTCTAAATGTTCTAGTAAATGACTTGCAGTTAAAAAACTAAAATAAGAAGGGAGGAGAGTTCAGGGTGTGTCGTGTGTTGGGAGGACGGACTCCATCATTTAGAGAAGTGAACAGTTCCTGCTTTGGCAGCGGAGACGGAAGAAAGCAGCCTTAAATCATCAGAGACTCAAACATGAACGCCCGTCACTCTCTGATCTGCTTCTTCTTCCTCAGTGAGTATGATCACTTACTGTTCCTGTAATTCTGTCTCTTTTTAACAAGTTATTTTTCTTTCTTATCTTTTTTTAAATTAACAGTCCGTTAAACTTTATAGTGGACGGTAAACGGCTTCTCTGTTTCCTCACATCTCGTATCAGTTTAACATGTCGTTGGTTTCTGTGGTTACAACAGGACGATAGGGGTTTGAGTCACTCAGTGGTGAAAGAAGTACTTCTACTATAAGTAAAAGAAGAAATACTTGGTAACATTCATTAAAACCCAATTTCAGAGTGTATAGATGTTTTACTAATACTGTATATTTTCTACATTTTAATGCTGTTTTAATGATTTTGAGATGTTGAAATTCTAGAATTGTTTATTTCTACTCTTTAATTTATACTTATGTGCAATGCCTTGTTTTGTTTTTTATGCTGCTGCAACGCAACAATTTCCTCTTATCTTATCTTATTCACATTTTTACAAAGTACAAAAGTATTATGATCCAAATGTACCTGATTTAGTAAAAATTGGCTTCTTGTTATGCTGAATGTCACATTTCAGAATAATGTGGTTTCATCACTTTAATGTTTCATCTGGTAAAAGTGGAGCTCATTTAAAAATCTCACCAAGGGATAAAGTTTTATCCATATTTATTAAACTAATAATAATGTATTTGTTGATCATATTTTGTATTTCTAATTTGAGTCTGCAAAGTAACTTAAGTTATCAAATATAGTATAACTAAAGTAAAAGTAGCAGAAAATGAAAATACTCAAGTAATGTACCAGTAGCTCAATATTGCACTTAAGTACACAACTTGAGTAAACATATTTAGTAACTTTCCACTGCTGGAATTACTTAAATATGTCTTTTATTGAAACTACTATTGACCTTCCTCAATCAGAAATGACCCTATTACCTGAGAGACACGATTGTTTCTGTTTCATTTAATTTCTTCCCATAAATATTAGTTTATTATATTTCTGCTGCATTGTTTTCCAAATAAAAATGCATTCCAGTAGTTTTTGTTGTATTTTGGAAGTAACAAATCAGTAATAAATTCACCGGTTGATTCAAGACCCTGTTTACCCTGTTGTGGTTTATTAATAATGACCCTTAACATTATCCCTGACGTATTGTTTATGTTTTGGGTTTGCACCTAATCATAATGTCAGATTTTTTTATCTCATGTTATCCTTTTGTATTTGCACTCTTTACACTATGGATTGCAACTACTGCAAAGCAATTTTCCTCGGGTTAATAACGTTTATCTTATATATTCATATTTCTGTTAATTAATATGACAGACTGGTTGAGCTGGGCAGCTCCCAGTGTGACTCTGTGGCTCTGTTAATGATTTATGTAACTGGCAAATCAGACTACAGTGTATTACAGGAATCAGTCAATCAAAGTTGATTTATATAGCCCAATATCACACATTTGACATTTGTCCCAGGGGCTTTACAGTTTGTACAGAAATATAGAAACTGTTCAGGAATATAGAAACTATTGATTGCTCTTCTTTTCAACAGCACTGCGGGATGGAAACAGTGGGCTCACCAATGCACAGAACCCCCTCCGTACAGAAACTGAAGGAGGAAACATCACAGTTGCATGCTCCTTTTCTTTCTCTGGAGGAAGGAAGATGTTCTGTAAGGGAAAATGTGAAGAAGGAAACATTCTGGTAGAAACGACCGGAGACTCAGCTCAGAGAGGCCGATACAGCATCAGATATGTGGAAGGGTCTGTATTATCTAACGCAATTCTGTATGTGAGCATCACAAAGCTGACTAAGTCTGACCCAGGATTGCACCAATGTGGTCTGGACAGATCTTATCTGCTCCCTGACTCATACCAGGACTTTGAGATCAGAGTTACAGATGGTGAGTTTCTACTGGCAGTTTTGGATTTATCTGTTCACTGACACCTGCTGATGTTTCAAATAACCCAATATGTTTAGTGTTACAGTTATATTTAGAGCTGCATATTTTAAAATGCTCTTTTTTATAAAAAAAAAAACAGTTAACAGTCTGCTACACATCCAGATCCACTACAAATATTACAGCTAATTTAAATATTGTTGCACAAAACATTCATTGCCGTCTTCATTTAACGGAATGATTCGATTTATACATTTATTTTGTATTTCCTTTTGTTTCACAGCTCCAACATCTTCAAAACCAGAAGTGACTCCCCGACCTTTTCCAACATCAGCCCCATCAGCCTCCACACTGACCACCACTCAGAGTCTGAGCTCCGTACCTTCCTCAGCCTCCCCTGAATCCACCACGCAGAGTCTGAGCTCCGTACCTTCCTCAGCCTCCCCTGAACGCACCACGCAGCCTCAACCGGGACAGACAGCTCCAGCTGGCCACGGTACTTTTAGTTTGTTGTTTGTGTTTATGGACCAGGAAGTATCAGAGTAAACAAAGTATTCTTCTGCTCTCAGATGTGGTGCTGTACGTTGGTCTGATTCTGCTCGCCATGTTCATCGTATTATCGGTTGCGTTGCTGATATTCTGCAGGAAGAGAGCCAGGAAAGGTGAGGCTGCAGGAAACACAAGCATCACAATGGCAAAAACAAATGGACCTTTTGCAACTTATTTTGAACACACTGCTCTAAATGTTGCTCCATTATTTCCCTCGAAACATCTGTGATATTATAACACAACTATTGACATTTAGATAAAAAAAATGTTTTGTTGTTTAGGTCAAACTTTAATTAGCTTTCCAAATAGCACACTTCTGTGATCTGATTAATATGTATTTAATTCCTAATTTAAGAAGCTTTTTTGAGAAATGGTTTGCACTGTATAGATCGTTTACTTAAAAAGCAATCACTGATATTGTTTGTTAGTCCGTAAGGCTTTTTAGTTTCTTTATTTGTTGTACATGTTTCAACTTGACTGTTAAGTTTAATGTTTTCTCAAAAGGTGTTGTTTATCAGGCTGAGTTTATCCATGTGTCTGGATCCTCTCTGTTCATGGCACTTCAGTTCCACAGTCAAATTTCTAATTGAAAAAATACATGTCTCTGATGCTCCTGAAGACCTCGTCAGTCATGTAACTATAGGGGTCATTCATTTAGTGTTTGCAGTAAAGATATGAGGCTGTGGAATTGAAGTGACATGGGGAGAAAAAGGGAATTCAGAAACTCCGCTAAACTCAATTTGAATCATTTAGAACAGGGGTATTCAACTAAAATTCAACGAGGTCCAGTTAGAGAAAATCTCGCCATGCAAAGGTCCGGAACATCGAAATATCTAACTTGCTTTATGAATTAGTGTGATATATATTGAAGTAGCCTGTAGCTGTATCAACGTCTGCATGTCATCAACAACTGACTGCCAATCAGATAAAGAAAGTACAATTCAAAAACAACAATATTTATTGTCAATTAACATTGAACTATACAGATATACAGTAAATACTGTGGATATGTGTAATGTTCCTCTCGGGCTGCATTTAAAAATAAAATAGAGAAATAAATAAAATAGCTTTGTTAACCGTTTCACATCATGACTTAACAGTTTCAGACGATTATAGAACATATCAGTCTTTACACATCATAACAATTGAACAGTTTTAAAGTTTCTCTTTCTTTCCCTCTTATATTGCAGTCCCTCACTCACTTTTCTTTAATTCAGTGCGAGAATTGAGCTTGAGCTTGTCCTGCCAGGAGTTTAAATCTGGGCTGAAATGGTGTCAGGGCCATTCTCATACACACATGCAGGTGCTCATTGGTTAGCCTCGGTTAGCCTGCGCTGGAACGATATTTAGTTTTAATTTTGATCCTGGTGGACTGATCATATTGGGCTCTGAGACTGCTTATTTTTTGTGACCTCAGTTCTGACTTGAGAGGGAATGTTTGGTCAAACACTTTGTGTTTTGTCTCATAGTGGCGTTTTGGCACTTTTAATCAGGGTTGGGAGGGTTACTTTGTAAATGTAATCGGTTACTGAATACATGGCTCTGAAAGTAATCCGAATACAGTTACGTGTCTTAAAAAAGTAACGTATTCAGATTACTTTTGGAATACTTTCTTTTTCCATAACAGATGGGTATGTTTTGGTGAACAGGAGACACTTATTTTACTGTTTTAATGGCTTATCAAGAGCACAACTCAAACACAACATCTTTGGGTCATTCTGGACAGCTCCCTCTCATCTGCACCCCACATAAAAAACATCACCAGGACTGCATTATTTGTACTCTCTTAAACCTTTCCTTAGAATATGTTATGAATTGTCAGGTGTCCTTGGGTGCTTTGAAAGGCGCCCCTAAATAGAATGAATTACTATTATTATTTATTATCTGAAACGACGTAATAACTTTTAAAACTGTTTCCAGTCACTTGCCCCATGCATTCAGCAGCAGCAGGCCATTCACTTTGATTTGATCCCGTTATGAAATGTCATCATTTCGACAATAAAGAAATGCTACATAAACGTTATCTTGCACATTTTATCGAACCATCTCCGTTTCTATATATTTTAAAAGAGATCTCTCTCTCTGATCTGCGTGCGGGGGCGGGGCCTCACAGACATGCTGCAGCGTTGTGCAGTGTGCACACAGTTCTGCTGGTAATGAATATTACATTTTATGAGGAAACTTTTCCACCAATAATTCCAAAAAGTATTCCAAAATGTATTCACATTCACCGCTTCTCTCCCTGTATCGCTAATTATTCTATTCACTCACTTTCCTCTCCGCTTCTCTCTGCCGCTCTCTCGTCTCTTCTTCTGTGTTTCTCCCCCTGTATCGCTCACTCGTCTCTTTCGCCCCCTGTCGGCGGCAGTTAAAATAGAATCGCCCCGTCAAAATTGAAATCCCCTATTAATGTATTGATTATAGGTCCGGGTCCGTATAGGTCGGCGTCTGGGTCCGGATCCGGACCGCGGTCCGCCTGTTGCCGACCCCTGATTTAGAACAAATAAGAAGAAGGAGTCCTTTGGAAAAACAATGTTGATCAGTGAGTGGGTGTTAAATACACACAGAGGTAGATTCACAGCTCATTCATCTTTTGAGTCTGGTTGCTTTTTAACCCAAAAAGGAGTTCAGGTCTGCCCAAAATCTTAAGTTTTTTCTTATAAAGTTGTGTTTTTGAAGATCATGAACTGCATTTCTTTCAGAACCTCCTGTGGAAACTGAGTATGTTTCTGATGCAGAGGTGAGTTCGAGTAAATCTGGGACATTTCTGATGTATTCATGTTTGTAAAACCAGCTGATATCAATACTAACCTGTTCTCACTTCCTGCAGAATAACCAACTGTATGAGGAGATCAGAGAGGAGGACAGAGGGAGCAGTTCTCCTCCTGCAGAAACATCCACCATTTACTCCTACGCCAAACCAAACCAACCGAACGGAGTCGAATCCACAGACGAGTACAGCTTAGTCACTGCAGCCACTTCTCAGAAGGAAGTAAGTCAGAAGTGTGGGAGGGGTTTAGGTTTTCAGCTACACACACACTAAATAAACTTGAGAGGTTTTAATTAACAGGTGATGGGTTAGATTTGATCACACGGGACAAAAGCCATCTCTCTATCTCCCACTGAAAGACGACAGATGATATGACAAATGAAAGTGTTTTTTATTGTACAGCAGAGGAAACATTTTGAATAAGACACATTTGGTTTTAAACTAACTTAATCTACTTACATCTATGAAGATTTTGTTCATCAAGAGATAAAAGTAACATAAAACAGAAAGAGGAACCAGGCCAAATCATATCTCAATACACAAGCTTCCGTTGATCTCAACAGGAAGTACTCGGACTGAATGTGGAGGTATGAAGGGGGGGGGGGGGGGGGGGGGGTTGATAAAACAAAAATAGAATTGTACATACAACCAACAACATGAAGCAGTACACATCCTGAAATGATGAACATGTGACAAATAAAGTTTTCTTTGTTTTCTTGCAGACTAAAGATGACCCGGGTAATCTCAACTCGGAGGTGGATTCTTCCAACAGTGGCGCTGCCCCGCTCCACAGCGCCCCCTGTGGCTACACAGATAACGCCCTCTACTCAGATCCTCGGGTAGCACAGATCTCCGACGTTAGCCACGCAGAAGACGCTTCACCTGCTCTTTACTCCACTGTTTCTTTACATCAGATGTAGCTTCAAATCTGTCATTTCCAAATGTACTTTCTCAGTGACCGACTGATGAACACAAAGCTGTGTAATTAGGCATTTCAAATGTCATCTGGTAAATAACTTAAAGGTCTCCTATCATGCAAAATGCACTTTGTAATTTCCTCTAGGGAACTCACAAAGTGTCAGAAAATAAAACCCTCTCTCTTTTCCTCCGTACCCAAATCTCTAAAAATGGGGGCACAACGGAGCTGATCCAGATTTGCGTCCGATATGATGTAATATCGGAAATGTGGACCCACGGCCCTATCAGAAACATTGCTATCAGAAACAATGCCCGACTGTTTTGGACGTAAAATGGTCTTTGTTTACATTAGCATCGCTAACACTCAGAGCTAACGCTAGAGAGAGTATGTGTAAAAAAGCAGGACATAAAAAAAGGAACTCACCTTGTGGTATAACCGGCAAAAGAGAAAGCATTTGAGCTCCATACTGTTTCAGAAATAATCCTTGATGTGGTTTGGAACATGATGGCATTTAATCACGGCAGCTTTTCTTCTGAGCAGGCACAAGCTCTCCCTCCTCTTTTCTTTTTTTCAAGCTAAGGACCCAGAATCAGCGTTTCTCTAACAGAGCTGAAACAGAGGGATATGAGGGATTTCTAAAATGCATCATCTGTTTGGTATTTTGAGCAAAACACATCATAGACATGTTTTTTATATATCTTTATATATCTGAGACCCATACATGTATATGCCTAAAAATAGCATGATAGGAGATCTTTAAAAGAACTAAAGTTATTAGAGTTTATTTAAGTTTTTGATTTAGTTTGAAAATATAAAACCAAACCGCTGTGAAAAAAGTAAATGTATTTCGTTTTTAAAATGTAAAGTATCAGATATTTTTATAAGTTAATGTGTTTCTCTGCATCTGAAGACTTTTTTATATTTTGTTACTGCAGTCAAATGTTGTATTTATTCTGTCTTTTTCATATATTTATTGTGTTTAATTGATAGCTCCGAGCATTTGAAGAACTGTCAATTTCAAAATTCCCTGTCAATAGCATTTACACATAAATACATAAATGTATATTTTGTTGAAGCTTAGAAAACTTGTAGATTAAATAAAAGAGAATGGACACTCTGGACTCAATGATGGCAAAGTGGTTATTATGACAGCTATACGAATAATTGTACACAAATATGAAATTATTACTGCATTAAGTTACAACCAAGTCAAGTTTTAATGTAAATCCACACATACTTGAACACAATGGAATGAAAAAGTAGAGTTCAGAGTGTTTGGAGGTGGACTCGCATCATTTAGAGAAGTAAAGCAGTTCCTGTAGACAGAAGAGAGGCAGCAGTAAACCATCAGAACCTCAAACATGAACGTCAGGCACACTTTGATCTGCTTCCTCCTCCTCAGTGAGTATTTATATCAGTCTCTCTTTTGTTTTACTGTTATTGAGCTTTATTTTCTTTATTTAATAACAATCGGTCAACTAAGGTTTGCACTGCATTGTCTTGTCATCATCTCATATCAGTCCAACCACATGTTGGTTTCTGTGGTTAAATATGAAGCTCATAGTTAGTATGAGTGCCTTTTTTAAATGCAGTTTATTACAGGTATTATTTATATCCTCAAAAAAAAGCAATTGGTAATTTGCAGTCAACTATTGTTCTTTTACATTACATTACATTACATTACATTACATTACATTACATGTCATTTGTTAGACGCTTTTATCCAAAGCGACTAACATACATTCAGTACTTTTTGTTTTATAGTTGCCTTTTCTGTTGTAGAGTAAAGTTATTTTTCTGTCCCTTCAGCCCGAATAACTAGCTTTGTGATACAAATATTAGTTCACTTTATTTGAAGCAGCTAAAGAGGAAGAACTGCAGCAGTACACATCTTTTAGCGGTCTGTTCACAAACTGAGAGCGGTTGATGTTTTATAAATGCATGTTAAGCATTTCACACTCAGATAGGCAATCAGCAGTGTCATTTTACATGAGAAGTGGTACATTGAAAAATACAACACAAAAGCACGCACACACAGAACATACAGGTTTATACTTCATCACAATAAAACCTTTTTTAAGTTTCTAATCAACATTAAACAGCCTATGTTTTAAAAGATCTCTTCTGCTTTTTAAGTTTGATCTAATATATTCATATTTCTGTTGGACTGAGTTATAACAGACTGGTTGAACTGGGCAGCTCCCAGTAGGATCAATGAATGATTTATGTAACTGTGAAATCAGACTGCAGTGTATTACAGGAATAAAGTTACTATTGACTGAACATCTTTTCAACAGCACTGAGGGATGGAAACAGTGGGCTCACCAACGCACAAAACCTCGACCGTACAGAACCTGAAGGAGGAAACATCACAGTTAGATGCTCCTTTTCTTTCTCTGGAGGAAGGAAGATCTTCTGTAAGGGAAAATGTGAAGAAGGAAACATTCTGGTAGAAACGACTGGAGACTCAGCTCAGAGAGGCCGATACAGCATTGATTATAAGGAAGGAACTTATCCAGTAAGTGAAACAGTTCTGTATGTGAGCATCACAAAGCTGACCAAGTCTGACGCAGGACGGTACCAATGTGGTCTGGAGGACAGACCTTTTATTTTCTTCGACTCATACCAGGACATTGAGATCAGAGTTACAGATGGTGAGTTTTAACCGGGAGTTTTAGATTGATCTGTTCACTGACACCTGCTGATGTTTCAAATAACCCAATATGTTTAGCGTTACAGTTATATTTAGAGCTGCATATTTTAAATGCTCGAATTATTAAAAAAACTGTTAATCTGCTACACATCCGAAAACCACTACAAACATTGGGATATTGTTTCACAAAACATCAATTACCGTCTTTATTTAACGGAATCATTTGATTTATTTATTTATTTAGCATTTCCCTTTGTTTCACAGCTCCAACATCTTCAAAACCAGAAGTGACTCCCCGACCGTTTCCAACATCATCCCCATCAGCCTCCACACTGACCACCACTCAGAGACTGAGCTCCGTACCTTCATCAGCCTCCCCTGAACGCACCACACAGCCTCAACAGGGACAGACAGTTCTAGCTGGACACGGTACTTTTAGTTTGTTGTTTGTGTTTATGGACCAGGAAGTATCAGAGTAAACAAAGTGTTCTTCTGCTCTCAGGTGTGGTGCTGTATGTGCGTCTGACTCTGGTCGTCATGTTCCTCGTACTCTCAGCGTCTGTGTTGATATTCTGCTGGAAGAGGGCCAGGAAAGGTGAGGCGACATGAAACCCACAGGCATATAACAAACTAAAATATAACCTTTTCCAACTATTGTGACCACCTGGCTCAAAAACTCTCAATGTTTCTAGATAATGTCCCCTGGTTTATAAACAAAATAAGAACTATTTACATTTAAATTATTTACTTTTACTTTAATGCACTTCATAATTAACTATTTTATCAACTCAATATGCTAATCTAAATCTAACTTTAGAATTTGTTTGAGTGTTATATACACTGCCAACCCAGTCTCACGGCATTTCGTGTTATTAGTCACGAAATTAATTTAATCTATTGATTCGTGTTCACCAACACGATTTTCACCTTTTTTTCGTGTCACACAGAACGATTTTAAATGCAATGTATTTCTATTGGTAGTATGTTTCGTGCCTGCAACACGTCTTTTTGTCCGGTCGGGTCTTGGAAGACCAGAAGCTGTGTGGTTCATAAAAACATGTTCTTACTCAATATCTTACCCTAAGCCTAACCCTATCCCTTTTATTTTAAATTGTATAATGTCTTGTATTGTTTTTTTGCCGTCAGTGAGGAAAATAAATGGGGCTCAGAGCCTCAGAATACTGAAATCTGTATTTTATGTCATCTTTTTTTCCTTCTAATTTGTTATTATTTGGTGCAGGCACGAAACATACTACCAATATAAATACATTGCTTCTAAAATCGTTCTGTGTCAGAATACTTAAATCTGTATTTTTTTTAATGTCTTTTTCCTTCTAATTTGTTATTATTTACATTGCTTTTAAAATCGTTCTGTGTGACACGAAAAAAATGGCGAAATCGTGTTGGTGAACACGAATCAATAGATTAATTTCGTGACTATAACACGAAATGCCGTGAGACTGTGTTGACACTGCATACTGATCACTGATTCGTTGTTTGTTCGGAAAAAGGCTTGTTGTTTTTTTCTTTTGGTCTAAATTTAAATGATTAGTCTTGACTGTTTAATTTAATTTTTTCTCAAAATTGTTTGTTTAAACTGAGTTTATGGCCAGTGTTTACCGATGTTTGCCTTTCTATGGCGAATGTGGCTCAGTGGGTAGTGTGCTGGACTTCGAATCATAGGGTAGCAAGTTTGAGTCCCACTGCAGTCAGCATGTCGTTGTGTCCCTGGGCAAGACACTTCACCCCAAATTGCTCCTGTGGGGATTGCCCACAGTATTGAATGTATGTAAGTCGCTTTGGATAAAAGCGTCTAACAAGTAACATGCAATAATGTAATATACATGGCACTTCAGTTCCACAGTTACATCTCTTTGTTGCTCCTGAACACACCATTAGTCATGTAACCATTGACATTAGGTGTTGTATTGAGATGTATGAGCAGTTATAATAAGTTGATCTGCCTTCCCTTACTGCTTGTCTACAGATCCTCCTGTGGAACCTGAGTATGGTGTTGACACTGAGGTAAGATGGACATTTATCATGGACATTTCAGATATACTACATTTTCTGAAACCAGCTCATAACAAAACAAATCTATTCTCACTTCCTGCAGGCTAACCAAGTTTATGAAGACGTCAGAGAGGAGGACGGAGGGAGCGGTTCTCCACCTGTATTAATATCTACCATTTACTCCTACGCCCAATATATCAAACCAAACGGAGTCGAAACCACAGACGAGTACAGCTTCGTCACTGAAGCCACTTCTCAGGAGAAAGTAAGTGTGGGAGGGTTTTAGGTTTTAAGCTTCACACATTTTAGAGGTTATAATTGATAGGTGATGGTTTAGATTTGTTCACAAGCTGTTTCTCCACCTCAAACACTGTTAGGAAAATATCACTCGACACCAGGTTGAGAATCAATAATCAGGTACTAATTTATTCTTGCAAGAATAAATAGAGTTAAATCACATACAAAGGATAAGGTTGAACTAACACACATGGGGTATGTTGCTCAACGGAGCAGCAAAAAACATACATCCAAAATACAGGAGATAACAACAAAGTCGTAAATCGAGGTGGCACTTGTTGGGTTCAGAATTCCAGAAAAGACAGACAACTTGGGGGGGGGGTGATTTAGTCTATTTATTCCAAAGTCACAGCCACATAAATGAGCACAATAAGCTTATAATGTAATAATAAGAATCAGTCTTTCTAATGTTATATAAAAATAGACTCCACACACTAATATCATCCGCGGGTGTCGGAAAGGTGTCGGGGTCATCTGTGACGTCTTCTGGAAAGCGTCACATACTTCCTTCACGCCTCATAGAAATGAGATATTTAGAAGACGACAAGTATGTGTCTTCTCATAAATATCAACAACCTGAAATGCCCTGCCTCCTCCTATCACAAGAAGAGGCAGCTGCAAGGTCATACACAGTGCAGAGTCACACATGATATCAGTGCATTAAAACAACACATAAAGGGGAGACAACAGTATTTCTCCAACAAACACAAATACAGCAGTTGAGAAATATGGATTGACATTTTTGTTTGTATTAAGCTTTATGACATGGCCTTAGACACATGGAGAATGTTGTTTCATTGTTAACCTCTTAAGCACGGCGGTCCCCCCATTGGACCCCTCCCACCTTTTTGTTTTCGAGATAATGTCTCAGGGCTTCTTAACATTTATGAAACTATTAATGTGTAGCACCATATTAACGGGAAGAATCTCAGCTAACTGAAGATATGAACCATTTTTACCAAAACAAAACACAAGTCTCATAAGAAGCGTCTAAATGACCCCTGAGCGAAAAGATTCTAACGCACTGCGGCACACAATTCAAGATAAAGATACCCTTATTACTTATCGTAGCTGCACATACAATATAGCCTATTAAAGCTGAGACTCCACTGATTATTTAGGTATAGTATCATCACTGAGCGATCCGAACTTGTGACAGGGGAAGCAAACACAGACATCACAACACGTACCTTTACGGAGCTTTTACGGCAGATCATCTCACCGTAGCTGTCAATTAGGTCAAAAGACGTGTTCAATGGCATTCACCTGTTCCACTCTGAGCCTGTTTTTCAGGTCTCAGGCTCGAAAATGACATTCCCAGAACAAATGACCATATCTTCCCTTCTAAAAGGGTTAAATTAATAATCTTTTCTCAAAGTAATGATAAACCTGTGAGTTGGATGTAGAAGTGTCAGAATCAATATAAATGTTTTTTATTTTAAAGAAAATTCAGATTTTACATAGTAAAAAACTGTAAATTATAGTGTCCGTCCAAAAATTATTTTTTACAGATAGTGAAAACTACCCTTGGATGATGGGTTAGTAGACTAAAAGCTTTAGGAATCCAAAGTACAACATATAATAAGTACCCTGTATCAAGATTGATGCAAAACAAGTGAAATTTGACCTTTTTAGAGAGATTTAGCCAAAAACTGGGCCATCTGGGGTCATTTGGGTGGATTTGACCTATCTCTGGCCCCCCTTGCTCGATCTGGTTGGTTGACATACCCTTGTGACCGTTAGAGCCAATAGAATCGAAGGAGGATACTTACATAGACACACATTGTAAAGAAAAAATGTTGCCGCTTCGCGTGTGGAAAGCGAAACTAAACTGGAGGAATGTCTCCTTCTGGAGTTTGGAAACTAAAACGCAGTTGTATTGCTTATGGATTATCAGAAATAATTTCAAAGAAGGCACAGACACATAGGATGAACCTATGGATTAACTGCAGCATCGTTTTTTTATCGTTTTAATGCCATTGAAGACCACTTTTGACCAAGGTAAGTCATATTTACATGTTTAGCTTCTTGGCTCCACATGTGATGATGTACGCTTTCGTTGATAGCGTCGCGAATGTTTATCACTGAGTGTTGAGGTGGGCACCGTTAGATTCAGTGTCTCCAGGACACCAAAAAATAGTGTTTGGTTGTGCATCTAGGATAAGTAATAAGGGAGTTCTGAGTGAGTTTATGTGTCTTTGTCGTCCCGTTTTTTCGATCGAGGCTAATTCAGAGGCTGAGTGCTAGCATTGTGGGTTTTTTTTTGAAAAAAAAAATTAAAAAGATCAGTTAGCTGAGTTTCTTCCCGTTACATGGATATAACACATTCATAGTTTTATTCAATATTAAGATTCCTTAGACGTTGTTTCCTGCAAATGACGCGTTTATCCGCCCGGTACCGGGGGGAAGGCGTGAAACAGGTTAAAACGAAATGCTACAACTGTTGATCCATAGGTTGATAATGTACCTGTTCCTTTTAAAAAATTATTTATAATCCATAATTCCATTTTTTATGTAAAAATCGGAGCGGAAAAGTTAGCTGCTAATGGTAGCCACCAGAGTGTATGCAGCTTCCGGTTTTGGTAACGCGTCACTCTCACTCCTTATTTATTAACGTGTTGGTGTGTATATAACTTTCCCTCGATTCCATTGGCTCTAGCGGTTATAAAGACATTTCATTCATCAGAATCGAGCAAGGGGGGCCAGAGATAGGTCAAATCCACCCAAATGACCCCAGAAGTGGGGTTTTTTGGCTAAATCTCTCTAAAAAGGTCAAATTTCACTTGTTTTGCATCAATCTTGATACAGGGTACTTATTATATGTTGTACTTTGGATTCCTAAAGCTTTTAGTCTACTAACCCATCATCCAAGGGTAGTTTTCACTATAAGTAAAAAAATATTTTTGGACGGACACTATAATTTACAGTTTTTTACTATGTAAAATCTGAATTTTCTTTAAAATAAAAAACATCTATATTGATTCTGACTTTTCTACATCCAACTCACAGGTTTATCATTACTTTGAGAATAAAGATTAATAATTTAACCCTTTTAGAAGGGAAGATATGGTCATTTGTTCTGGGAATGTCATTTTCAAGCCTGAGACCTGAAAAACAGGCTCAGGGCTTAAGAGGTTAAGAAGAGGAAGTATTGGCAGTGTGGCAGAAAAGAGACGATTGGGGACATTTGCTTAAAGATGTGTTTTTAAACAAACTTTACCTCAGTTCATGTTTCATATTTAAAAGGAAAAGCAAGTTTTACAAACAAAAACTAAACAACGAAAGACTAGATCTATGTGTACTTTTTCATCAAGACAGAAGAGTACCATGAAACAGAAACAGGAACGAGGCCAGTTTGTGATCAAACCCCAAAACCACAAGCTTGAACAGGAAGTTGATTTGAAGGGAGGAAAAAGTGCCGTAAAAAAAAACAGATTTTCAGTTCGATAAAGCAAAAATAGATAGAGATACAACCAAAAACATGAAGCAGTACACATCCATAAATGATGGCCATGTGACGAATAACGTTGTCTTTGTTTCTTGCAGACTAAAGATGACCCGAGTAATCTCAACTACTCTGAGCTGGATTCTTCCAACAGTGGCGCCCCCTGTGGTGACGCAGATAACGTCCTCTCTGCTCCTCGGGGTGGAAGCGCGCTCTGATGTTAGCCACGCTTCACCTCCTCCACTGTCACTTCAGATGTAGCTGTAACTGTTAATGTAATTTATTTGGTGGAATTAACAGCATTAGTTGTTAATCGGTGATACATTTTTTAAATATTGTTTAAAATGTTTACACCCAACAGCACTAACTAATGCGAAAATAAGTAAACATGTTACATTTTAACAAGGTTAACAGGAAAGATAAAATATTATTTTTAGAAGTTAATATCATCTGCAAAAATGTGTATATCTTTTTTTATTGGAGTTATATTTTATATTTATTCTGCATTTGTTACATTAATATATAAGTTGATGTGATAAGGTGCTACATCTAGTCATCATGAGAACAATAGCCTTTAAGGTGTCCTATCATGCAAAATTCACTTTTTGATGTCTTTTATACATAAATATGTGTCCCCGGTGTGTCAGGGAACTCACAAAGTGTCAGAAAATGAAACCCTCTCTCTTTTCCTCCGGACCCAAATCTCTTAAAACGGGGGTACAACGGAGCTGATCCAGATTTGCGTCCGATGTGAAGTAATATCGGAAATGTGGGCTGGCTTTACACCCACAGCCCTATCAGAAACGTCGCTATCAGTAACAATGCGCGACGTGTTTTGAACGTAATATGGTCTTTGTTTACATTAGCTAACATTCAGAGCTAACCTGTACTGGAGAGAGTATGTGTAAAAAAGCAGGATATAAAAAAAGGAACTCACCTTGTGGTAAACCCGCAAGAAAAAAAGCATTTGAGCTCCATACTGTTTCAGAAATAATCCTTGAAGTGGTTTGGAACATGATATGGCGTTTAATCACGGCAGAATTTAGCTGTATCTGCAGGCAGAGAGGAGATCTTACTGCTTGCCTTGCCGTTGCCAAAAGGGGGCGTGGCCAGCAGCTACAGTCACTGGGTGTTTCTCAATTGCGAGTACCAGTGGCGTCGCCTGGCCTGGGCATCCGGGGCTTTAGCCCCGAATGTTTTTTCTGTAGCCCCGGACAATTCTCCCTCAATAATATAATACATTAACCGTGCTTTACGTGAACCTCATCATGACACAAGAGAGGACGGCAGCACTGTAATTTCCCGTGTTCAGTGAATGCAACAGAGGCATGACACCAGACCAATCAGAGAGTTGCATGGAAATAAACGTGTGCTTGTGTCATTCAAGCTCGGCTCTGTGTGTGTGTGTGGCAATAGCGCATTTAGTGTGATAGAGAGAGAGAGAGGGAGAGAGGGGGAGAGAGGGACCGGTGTCAGCATGGACCGTGTTGTTAGCATCTGGTTAGCTAGCTGCACTAACGGACATAAGGAGCTGTTTGTTCCACAAGAAGCTGGAGGAGAGTCCTCTCCTCTCGGACTGAGAGACTCAGGTGAGCTAAAGGACTGTCTGAGTGTTTAGATAGTTAACTTTAGTCTAAGTTATCTCAGTGGGTCTCAAACGGTTTGGTCACAAATTATTCAAAAGATTATTTCCGTGGCACACCTTCATATGATCATTATAGTTATTAAAAAAAAGAGAATAAAGGAAAAACAGTTATGAAATACTATATGGCAGTAAAACAAGAATAGAGTTTAAAAGGGGAGTGATTAGTAAAATATCCATAAAGAAAAAGTACATCTGTTTACAGTTCTGCTTCATATGGGTGTTGAGAGAGGTATCCATAGATCTCTTCATGTTGCTCTCAAAGTGCACCAGATTGATGCATTTAACTTCAATATTTAAAAAAAAATCTTCCCGGGGGAGCATCCCCCCGGACCCCCCTAGAGGAGGTGAGCCCCCCACTCATAAAAAATACCACTTTACCCCTGCCTATATGCCTGAGCTGATTATCGAGCCTTCATTGTAACAGTCGCGGGTGTATGTGTGTGCGTGTGGGGAGTGTTGCAGTAAAAAATGCCACTGTAGTGCCGCCGCCACTGTGGGCTAAGCCCCGAATGTTTTCAGGTCCAGGCGATGCCCCTGGCGAGTACGCTTGCTTGGTAGCACATGTCTGCCGAGCATCTTGCTTCAGAAGCGAGTCAAGAATACTTCCTGGCATTCGGAAAACGAAGTGTGGAACACGCTAGCAAGTGTGCAGGTGTGCGTCATATGAGAGGCCCCGCCTTACATCACAGATTTGGGGAAATTGGTCCGTGCGCAAAGCATTGTGGGGATTTTAAGACCGCGAAGTCTACTCATGTGCAGACTCGATATTTCTCCAAACGGAGTACGCCGGGCTCGGTAGATTTCCAAGTATACTGGAGATTGGAACAGTACTTCGGCAGCACTCGATGACGTAGTATGCTTGAAATAGTGGCTCTGAAGCAGCTTTACTCGCGATTGAGAAACACCCACAGAGTCAGCAGTTCTCTAACAGGGCTGAAACAGAGGGATTTGAGGGATGTCTAAAATGCATGATCTGTTTGGTATTTTAAGCAAAACACATCATAGACATGTTTTTTATATATTTTGATATATCTGAGACCCATAATATATGCCTAAAATAGCATGATAGGAGATCTTTAGGGTAAAAGAAACTAAACAAAGAAAAGTAATTTGCACATAGATATATAAAGATATGCATCTTCAAAACATTTATTTTGATACCTTATTGCCTTTTATAGCATGTATAGGTAAAATACATTGAAACGGGGCAAAGAGTCATGGGCCAGCCTTGCACGCGCTACCAGTCATTCTGAAAATACCGTCTATTTTTTGGCTGCTGCGTTTGTCTCTCCAGTGTAAGCACGTCTTTTTCTGTCTGTGCTAGCTAAGGCGTCCATAATTGAAATATTTCAAGAAATGTATTCTCATATTTTTAACTCTTCTCGCACCATCCATTATGGAGGTGCACCAATATGTAACAGTTAAATGAATGATCTGTTATTTATGACAACATAAATAAGAATCAGTAAGAATAATTTCAGAACCTAATGTTATTTTTATTTATTCTCTTAAAACACAAACACTATTAAATACATGTAAACAACTAGATGTGTTTCTGAGGGTGCAAACCAGTCAATGTTTTTACTAATAAAACAGAAACATAGGACTCAATGATGCATGGCCACACATGAGTCATTGTAATTATTTTACAAAATGATTACTTAATTCTGCAGTAACCTACATCCAGGTGTAGTTTGAATGTAGAGTTCAGAGTGGTGGATGTATTTTGGGCAGAGGGACTGTATCCTTTAGACAGGTGAATCACTTCCTGGTTTGTGCAGACAGAAGAGAGGCATTGATAAACCATAATATCCTCAAACATGAACGTCTGGCACACTTTGATCTGCTTCTTCTTCCTCAGTAAGTATTTATATCTCAATTGCTTTTACTTTGATTCTATATTTCCTTGTTTCTTTACAGTCAGTCTTAAAGATTGTGTTGCATTGTGTTGTTGTTTAGATCATCTCATATCAGTCCAACATGTTGTTGGTTTCTGTGGTTTATCATGTTGGTATGAGTCTGTCAAATGTATGCATGTTAATAAAAAGTATTATCAAGTATCAAATATTCCTATTCTTCCCTGGTTCTATGATTTTTTATTTTGTTGATTCTGTTAAATAGTAAAGTATTATTTCTGTTGCTTCAGCCTATCTGTGGTTGAGTTGAGTGTTAGCTATAAGTTGCTACATAAATATATCTTAGCAGTCATTTCTGTTCCTCAATGGACCCCAGCTTTAGAGCAAGATTTCCAGCAGTAAACATCTGTGAGCTGCTCTGTTCACAAACTGAGAGCTGTTGATATTTAGAAATGCATCCAAAACATTTTACATGCAGAGAAGAGGTCAGTCATATTCACATACGGAGTTTGATATTTAAAATCAAAACCTTATGATAAAACATTAAATTATTATTAAAATATATATATTGGACCCTGCTGCTGACTAAGATACACAATCTAAAAAGGCAGCACTGTATCAAAAGTCGAAACGTAAAAAAGTAGGATTTAAACATGCTGTTACCTGTTACAATACACACAAGTCAATTTGACCCAGAATTAATGAAAATATAACTATGGGATGAGCAATAGTAGCACTAGTTATAAAAGTACCCTTCTTCCACAAGTTTCAAAATAAAGAAATACACTAAATTATTAAATCTCTATTTAACTGTAGAATATGACATTTTAAAATGTTATAATATTTTTTAACAATCAAAAATGTATAAATTCCTGATCTTTGGGAAAGTGAAGCAGGAGATGTTGTTCATCAGACTGCAGTGTATTACAGGAATAAAGTAACTTCACTGCTCATCTTTTCAACAGCACTGCAGGATGGAAACAGTGGGCTCATCAAAGCACTAAGCCTCGACCGTACAGGAAGTGAAGGAGCAGACATCACAGTTGCATGCTCCTTTTCTTTCTCTGGAGGAAGGAAGATCTTCTGTAAGGGAAAATGTTACGAAGAAAACATTCTGGTAGAAACGACCGGAGACTCAGCTCAGAGAGGCAGATACAGCATCAGATATGTGGAAGGGTCTCTATTATCTGACTACATTCTGTATGTGAGCATCACAAAGCTGACCAAGTCTGACGCAGGACGGTACCAATGTGGTCTGGACAGATCTTTCCTCCCTGACTCATACCAGGACATTAAGATCAGAGTTACAGATGGTGAGTTTCTACCGGGAGTTTTGGATTGATCTGTTCACGGACCTCTGCTGCTGTTCCAAATAACTGAATATGTTCAGTGTAACTGTTACAAAGTGAGGTGCAGGTGAAAGAACGATACGTGGAAAGAGGGTTTTCTTGCAAAAATAGACAGGCGTTTTATTCTCAGCCTTCCACATTATTCCACAGAAACAAAAACTGCATGCCTGGTGCTGCATTCACCAGCAAGGAACAAACACCAAATGCCCCCTCCCCTCTCTTCCCAACCACATTTATAGGAGACTGCCCGCCTTCCCAATCCAACCTGGCCAATCAGGTCATGGTTCTGAAAGCGGACTGAAGGGTTAAATACAAAATTAAACACTGTGGTCTACATTTAATACAATCCTAAAGGCTTAAGTAAATTCATAATTGCATCAACATAAACATTGTACCTTCAGAAACAACAAGTTCTGCTTAAAACGGATAGTTTTTAACCTAATTGACACTCATAAAATCACTCATTTCCTGACCAATCACGTCCAAGACTCCGCCTACTCATAGGGCACACATAAGGAGTACTTTGGAGGCGTGCTCCCCCTTTGAGCAGTGACACAAAATGGCTTCCAGGTCTGAACAAAGGAAATGGTGATTACTTTGTGATTGTGTGTTTTACAGACTGACAAATTAATCTAGATGCCCTTTACTAGTTTTTCTATGTAAACTGTTTTTATAACTTTAACTGAAATAAAGACAACTCTGAAGAAACATGTACTACCTTTCTTAACAAACAAATTGTTAAGCCAAAATGTTAGTGAGGGAGTGTGTGCGCTTCATCACAGTAACATATTATAGTTACAGTGGAGGAAATAAGTATTTGATCCCTTGCAGATTTTGTATTTTCGCCCACTTACAAAGACATTAACAGTCTATCATCTTAATGGTATAGGTTTATTTTAACAGTGAGAACAAGAATATCAAAAAGAAAATCCAGAAATTGACATTATATAAAAGATAAACATTTATTTGCATTTCACTTTGGGAAATAAGTATTTGATCCCCTTGCAAAACATGTGTTAGTACTTGGTGAAGAAACCTTTGTTGGACAGCAAGAGGACAGACGCTTCTTGTAGTTGGTCTCCAGGTTTGTGAACATCTCAGGAAGGATTCTGGTCCACTCCTCTCTGAAGATCCTCTAAAATTATAGACTGTTCATTTCTTTGTAAGAGGGCAAACTTACACAATCTGCAAGGGACCAAATACTTATTTCCTCCACTGTATATTAAGAGCTTCATATTTAAAAATGATCCTATTAAAAAAAACAATAGTTCAACTGCGAAATATCTGATAACCACTAAAAACATTAACAGCTTATTTAAACATTGTTGCACCAAAGACATTAATTACCATGTTGATTTAGCTTTATGATTCGTAATGCTCTGATGCATTTGCAGATACATTTTATTTTGAAGAGATCTTAGTGCAGCGTTCTTTGTCAAATCTGATTTGTGTTTCATTGTGTTTTCTTTGTGTTTCACAGCTCCAACCTCTTTAACATCATCCCCATCAGCCTCCACACTGACCACCACTCAGAGTCTGAGCTCCGTACCTTCCTCAGCCTCCCCTGAACGCACCACACAGCCTCAACAGGGACAGACAGCTCCAGCTGGTCACGGTACTTTTAGTTTGTTGTTTGTGTTTATGGACCAGGAAGTATCAGAGTAAACAAAGTGTTCTTCTGCTCTCAGGTGTGGTGCTGTATGTGCATCTGACTCTGGTCGTCATGTTCATCGTACTCTCAGCATCTGTGCTGATATTCTGCTGGAAGAGGGCCAGGAAACCCAGAGGTGACTTTACAGGAAACAAACACATAAGAAGCTGGGGTGGTGGTGGGGGCAGGCAACGAGCATCAGGAGCATGAACGCAGCAGCAGCATAGTGAGGCAGAGGCAGGAAGACCTGGCAGCTTAAATAGAGCGGCAAGTTAAGGAGAATGTGTTTGGTTGGTTGTAAGAGGGACGAGGTGCGTCACGTGTTAATGTATCATTGGTGCTCGAGTTGACTGCCTTAACTAGCTCGCAGGCTTCGCCCCATTAAAGTCAAAGTTTAACATTAGTGTTTGTTTCTTAGTATCACCTGTTGCCTTCTTAAGAAACAGGAACCAGTGCAGGGTGGCATTATTTTTAAAGCCAAGCGATGATAACTCTTTTGAGAAGGAAGTTAAGATGTGTGAACAGAGAGAAAGAACTTCCATATTTCAAAAAATATGAACATTTCACACGAAGCAGCTCTCATGCTTAAACGATGATCATGTGAAAAAACATGAAAGTAAACTCTTAATGGTATCAACTTGTGTTTGATATCTTGCAGACTGAAGAGGACCCGAGTAAACTCACCTGCTTTGAGGAGGATGTGCAGGGTCCTCGCCTCACAGCGCCCCCTGTGGTGATCCAGATAACGTCCTCGACTTCGTCCTTTGGGTAGAAACGGGTTCAGACGGTTTGGACATGCAGAAAACGCTTTTTCTCCTCTCTACTCCCCTGTTACTAAATCAGATGCTGCTTCAACTCAATTAATTTGTAGGGTTTTAATTAGTAAACAAAAGCTATTTGGGTTTCACATAGTCTACATGAATAATAATAATAATAAAGCTTCATTTATATAGCACTTTTCATAGAACACATGCAGCTCAAAGTGCTTTACAAAATGACACAAGTCAAAGAAAAAAAAATGTCCCCTCAGATTATTTGTTAAGAACTTTAAAAGGTACATGCAGCAAAATATAACATTTTACCAGGTTAATAGACACAAGGAGGTAAAATGTATGATAATACAAATAAAATAAAATAAATAATGACAGATAAGACGCAAGACAACTAAATCGATGAAACAATATAAAATATAAAACCCCATAAAACAAAGTGAACATATAGGTACAACAGAAAAAAGAAGATAATAGTAATACAAATGCCATAATTCTAATAAAGGTTAAACGATTAAGAAATGAAAAAGACCAACGTAAAAAGAAATATTGCTATTGAAGGATGTTAGATTAATAAAATAAGATAAAATCCATTAAGACCTTTACAATAAATAAAACAACATAAAGGTAGGTAAATAATAAAGACTAAAAGAACATTTAAAGTGGGGGTTGCTAATAAAAAGCTAATCTAAAAAGATGTGTCTTTAGCTGGTGTTTATAATACATTTATTTATCAAGCGCTTTTACAGGTTAGTCGAGTTTCCAGCTCACAGAGTGCTGCTGTGAACCTGGAAATGTTGAGTACACCAAAGTTAAAGTGTATATTACGGGTCCCCAGCACATAGAAACTGCCGGGTGCTAACTTGCATATGTTGGGCAATTTGTTCATTCAGCATATGTTGCGTTAATAAGTAGGAATTACCATTATAGCCTATGGGGGAAATAGTTGAACAATTGTTTGGCTGGTTTGGACAATGTTGCAGTGGTTTTGGGGTTAATGGATGAGGCATTCTCAGGATCAAAAATGGCTGTTTCCATATTTTCACTCCCGGTGGACAGATTTTGATAAATATAGAAAAAGTAATATGTCATAACAATTAAGTAGCAATAATAGTTAATTATGTGTTATTCAAATGTCATAGATATAATATCATAAAGTGTTAGAGTACAATACGTACAAATATATTATTACGTATCCCTGTTTTTTCTTCATATTTTCTATTGTAAAAGTTTCTCTTTGATATTATATGTTTTGGCTTTTCCTTGGACACAAATCATCAAGACATAATACTGCAATACATTTTCGGTATTTCAAATGTTCTGTATGTATAACACATGAAGAATTATTGACAATAAAGCTGACTTTGACTTTGAATACTGCAACATCTTGGTTTGTCCTAAAACATTTTAAAACATTATATTTTGTAGTATTTCATAAAAAATACAGTTGTTTTAGCATTCGCTTTCATTTTTTACAATGTAGGATTGTCATTTTGCCGTAACATTTTTATTAAGACATGTTTTAGAGTTAAGTATGTTATAACGATGTCATTGCAAGCATTGTGGAAAATGTACTGTATTAAACATAAAGAAATGTGTAAACACCGCCTGTGGTTAAACAAGATACATTTATAAACTATTCTGCCACAATTATCGCACAATAATTGGGATATAATTTGGGGTTTAATCTGTTACAGTCATTCGGCATAGATTTTTTGTTGTTGAGATATTTCATTTTAGAAACTATTTGGCAGCAGATTGGTCGGATGCAATGTTGAAAATGTCCTTACTTTTTTTTGTATGCCTTTTTGCCTTCATAGCATGTGATGTGTATAGGTCAAATACATTGAAACAGGGCAAAGAGTCGTGGGCCAGCCTCGCTATGGGTGGCACGCTCCACCAGGTCACCTAGCTAATATTTAACATAATGATCATAACTAAATTATGAATTAACCGTGGCCGTTTTCTGGCAGCAATAACCATTATTGTTGTGTCTGCACAACTCACTGAATAATCTTTGTGATTCAAAAGTTCAACTAAATCAATGAGTTTTAGTTTGTATCATGCAGCGATGAATTTAAATAAGTTATGGTAAGCATGTGAATTATACGCAGAAGAAAAGGGAAATGAACAACATAAAGTAATTCAATATGTTTTTAAGATGCCTTTAAGACTAATGCAGAGACTTCTTCCAGGATGAAGATAAGTCGAGTAAATTCACAGACTCTCGCCACAGCGCTCCCTCTGGGTATTCTGAAAATGCCGTCTATTTCTTAGCTGCTGGTTTTGTCTCTCCAGTGTGACCTGAAATGTGTTTTACTAAAGCACGTCTTTTTCTGTTTTGAAATATTTAAAGAAATGTATTCACAGATTTCTCACAGCATGCATTATGGAGGAGAAAAGTAATCTTTTAGCACCAATTTGTAACAGTTAAAGGAATTATCTGTTTTTAATCACAAAATAAAAAATTAGAATCACTAAAAGCTGTGTTAAAAGAATCTTTTTGGAGCCACATCTTTTTTCTCTTTTATTCTCTTAAAACACAAACACTATTAAATAAATGTGAACAACTAGATGTGTTTTTGAGGGTGCAAACCTGTCAATGTTTTTATTAATAAAACAGAAACATAGGACTCAATGATGGCCACATGAGTCATAAGCTAGAGATGTTATAGTAATTCTAACTATTTTTACAAAAGTATTACTTAATCCTGCAGTAACCTACATCCAGGTGTAGTTTAATGTAAAATCACACATGAACTTGAAGATTCATGCGGGACAAATTAGAGTTCAGAGTGGTGGATGTATTTTGAGCAGAGGGACTGCATCCTTGAGATTAAGATCAAGCACTTCCTGGTTTGTGCAGACGGAAGAGAGGCAGCGGTAAACCATCAGAACCTCAAACATGAACGTCAGGCACACTTTGATCTGCTTCTTCTTCCTCAGTGAGTACATTAACTAAATGTTTCTATCAGTTTCTCTTTTATTTTTACTTTATTAACTTTTTCAATTTATATTTGGTCAGCTTAAGTTTGCACTGTCTGGTGAGTGCATCATCTCCAAAATAAATCTTAGCAGTAATTTCAGTTCCTCAAGACCTTTCTTTCATTAACTTCATATTTGCTAACCCACTTTGTTTATTTTTATTTAGACCATTAAACATCTGGGAGCTGCTTAGTTCACAAACTGGAAGCTGTTGATAGAATCGCATCCAAAACATTTCACATGCAGAGAGGCGACCAGTCATTTTTGATACATTTTATTTTGTCCCTGAAGAAGAAGAAGAATTGGTCACACATGCAGAGCACACAGCACACACAGTGAAATGTGTTCTCTGCTTTTAACCCATCCTAGTACCAGGAGTCTAGTACTGGGAGCAGTGGGCAGCTATTGTACAGCGCCCGGGGAGCGATGGGAGTGAGGGGAGAAGGGGGATGTCCGGTGCCTTGCTCAAGGGCACCAACACTTTTACACTTAGCAGAGGATGGTTCCTGCCGCTGACTATGAATAAAAGAAGCAAAATGCAGCACTGTATTAAATGAAATATTTTTGGCAACCAATAAAAAGCAGGATTTTATTCACCTAAATGAATCTGACCCAGAGTTAATGAACATTTTGTAATCATGTAGTAATAAAGGCACCATCTCTCCTCCATTTATAACAATTATAAATCACTTAAAACAAATCATTATCATATTTACTGCAGAATATTACATTTTATAATGTTATCAACATTTCTGGACAATCTAAAATATATTTAAATCTTGATCTTTGGAAATGTGAAGCAGGAAATGTTGTTCAATGTATTGTATACCTGTGGTGTTTATTTGTATTATTGTATTATCTTTGCTTTGTAATGCCTGTTGTAAAATGCCATTATATAATGTGTTTTTACTGTATTTATTCATAAAAAGTCTTTTAATTTGTTTTGTAAAGCACTTTGAATTGTCGCGTACAGAAAAGTACTGTATAAATAAACTTGCCTTGCCTTCATCAGACTGCAGTGTATTAAAGGAATATAGTAAATATTCACTCGTCTTTTCAACAGCACTGAGGGATGGAAACAGTGGGCTCACCAACGCACAAAACCCCCTCCGTACAGAAACTGAAGGAACAAACATCACAGTTGCATGCTCCTTTACTTTCTCTGGAGGAAGGAAGATGTTCTGTAAGGGAAAATGTGAAGAAGGAAACATTCTGGTAGAAACGACCGGAGACTCAGCTCAGAGAGGCAGATACAGCATCAGATATGTGGAAGGGTCTGTATTATCTAACGCAATTCTGTATGTGAGCATCACAAAGCTGACTAAGTCTGATGCAGGACGGTACCAATGTGGTCTGGACAGATCTTTTCCTCTCCCTGACTCATACCAGGACTTTGAGATCAGAGTTACAGATGGTGAGTTTCTGGGAGTTTTGGATATAACTCCTCCCAGTTGCTGCTGTTTCAAATAACCCAACATGTTATACAGTTACCTTTCATGCATGAATTATGAAAGCCTCACTCAGGATTTTTTTTACCAAGTGTTTTTTATTGCTCTTGGGGCATTAAAAACAAGATTTTAACTTTAGTTTTTTTTTATCTAGTTTTTTCAAATTTAGGTCCACTCAGGTGGACATATAAAACATTTTTTGGACAGTTTGCGTTAAAGTCTAAACTGAAAACTTTTACATTTGGAAAAAATGATAAATAAAGATGTGCAAACTTAAAATTACATTATAATAACTTAAAGGGGACCTATCATGCAAAATGCACTTTTGTACGTCTTTTATACATGAATATGTGTCCCCGGTGTTTCAGGGAACTCACCAAGTGTCAGAAAACACAACCCTCTCTATTTTCCTCCATACCCAAATCTCTAAAAAAGGGTCTGCAACGGATCTGATAAAAACTGATCCAGATTTGAACACTGTCCTGACGTCAGGACGGTAGCGCTACGGCTATTGGGCCAACTCCACCAATCAGGAGGAGACAGCCACGGCCATTGCCGTTCGAAAGCGCTGGAGAAGCTGTAGTACATATGCCAGGCCTGTAGGTGGTGCTGTTCTCACAGAATCAGCCCTTGCAGAAACAGGGCTAAAAAAGTGCAAACTGAGCGAAATGAGGCATGGCTAAAATGCATGATCTGTTTGGTATTTTGAAAAAAAAAAAAGTATAAATATGCCTTATATAGGTATGGTCCTACACTATATTATTGTAGCATGATAGGTCCACTTTAAGTATATATATTTAAGGCCCAAAAAGATATTGCAAATTAAGTATTTTCAAGAAGAACAGTAGCAGTAACAGTATGAAGTTTAGTTGAAATATAGCCAGTGATGCATGACGTCCACTGTAGTGGACAGGCGAATAATCATGATTTCCTGCAAACATAAAATCAATACTTTGACAATTTATGAATTATATCATTCCTTAGTTGTTACTTGATGTCACCAAATGTTTTATATCTGCAGGGAGCACTTTCCATGAAAGGATTGGCAGGATATCGGCAGGTGACTTGGTCCATCTGGCTTTCTGTCGTTCATCTTGGTTTAGAGATATTTATCATGCACTTTCACTGACTTTCCACTGAGTGGCAGTGTATGGGATGATGCAATAGGGTCCTATGTAGTGGCTGATGGTGCAACTATGCAAAAAAAAACATGCATATACAAGAAAACACCTTTTGAATAGCTGTCCACTGTAGTGACCTCTATGCGTGAAAGGGTTAAGAGCTGCATATTTTAAAAGGCTCCTATTAAAAAACAAAACAAAATGTAATCTGCCAAATATATGATAACTACGGAAGAGGATTAGGGCCACATGACAAAAAAAATGTGGGGATGTGAAAAATATATAAATATATTTGTTTTTAGTTCTGAGACAAAAGTCTGAATTCTAGTCGACAAAAAAAAATCGGTTATAAAAAAAATAAAAATTAATTTAGCTCAATGTACTTCCGGGTCAGTTCGGCAACACAGAAATCACAACAATGGAGCGGTTCATCGATTTTTACTTTGAGCTTGGCCTAAAATATAAATAACATCAGTGCTTGGCAATAGGCACGGGTTTCACATAAGTGAAAGACACCTCAAGAGAACACTCAGAGCGAGGGGACATGCACGTCGCAAAGCATACTCTGAGCTGAGTTATTGACAGATTCGAATTTTGCGGATCAATAACTCATGAACATAACGTTGTAAAAATACAAACAACATGACTTTACAGAATAGCAAGGTAGACAACGAGCTACAGAGTCGTTTTTATCAGAACAGTTCGATACGCGCCGTCATCCGAGCTAAACTTCAAGAATTGGTCACAATCTGCAGCTGGAGGAGAGAGAGGAGTGCTTAGGGACCGTCTACAAACTGCAACGCCGAAAATATATACTCATAGAAAATTCATTGCGTTCTTCCGAGTAAATCGCCAGAACGCCGACACCTCCTCATCTCCACCGCTCCCATGTTTTATTTTGTGTTGCCATAAGTTAGTCTCTCTGAGTTTGTGCGCTGGGCGAATGCTAATGCTAATAATGCTAATGCGAGGATAATAAAATGGCGGCTGCACAAAACCTTTTGGGAGTTTTACGGCGCGTGGTTTGCAATCCGCCCAGCCAATCAGACATAGGAACCTTTTTCTCCCACGAAAGTACCTGCTCTCTAGCAGGGACGAAAAACTGACGGAAAAGGGGGTAAAAAGGTTCTCATTAACTAATTTTTGTTCCGGATTTTTTTGGTGTGAACGCAACATTTCGGAACTATATCGGAACTAAAGTGGGAAAAGTACTGCGGTGTGAACGCGCCTATTGAGCTAAATGAAAAGTTTTACGAGAACATTTATTTTTTCAACCAATTTTTTTTTCTTCTCCATGTCCCCTCCATAATATTATAAGAAAAAACAAATCAGAATTCTGACTTTTTCTCCCAAAATATATTTTTTTGTTTTGAGAAAAAAGTCAGGATTCAGAATTCAGATTTTTTTTTCATGTGGCCCTAATCCTCTTCCGTAGATATTCACCACACACATTATAGGTTATTTAAATATTGTTTAAACACATTCATTACCTCCTGCATTTAGCTACCGTACATGATTAAAAATGCTCTGATGCATTTGCAGATACATTTTATTTCAATGACATCTTAGCGTTCTTTGTCCAATCAGTATCTGATTTCTGTTTCATTGTGTTTTCTTTTTGTTTCACAGCTCCAACATCTTCAAAACCAGAAGTGACTCCCCGACCGTTTTCAACATCATCCCCATCAGCCTCCACACTGACCACCACTCAGAGTCTGAGCTCCATACCTTCATCAGCCTCCCCTGAACGCACCACGCAGAGTTTAAGCTCCGTACCTTCATCAGCCTCCCCTGAACGCACCACGCAGAGTTTAAGCTCCGTACCATCATCAGCCTCCCCTGAACGCACCACGCAGCCTCAACAGGGACCAACAGCTTCAGATGGTCACGGTACTTTTAGTTAGTTGTTTGTGTTTATGGACCAGGAAGTATCAGAGTAAACAAAGTGTTCTTCTGCTCTCAGGTGTGGTGCTGTATGTGCGTCTGATTCTGGTCGTCATTTTCATCGTACTCTCAGCATCTGTGCTGATATTCTGCTGGAAGAGGGCCAGGAAACCCAGAGGCGAGTTTACAGGAAACAAACGTATAACAAAAGCAATCGTTTGGACCTAATCTTCTGAATGTGATGTATTTTAGAAACTGCTGATGAGGCTGAGCATGTCAATGTCACAGAGGTGAGTTTGGGTACATCTCAGCATTTTTTATGTTTGTGCAAACAGCTGATATGACAACACATTCTCACTCCCAACTCAGCCTATGTTGACGTTATGTCAGGATCCCTTGGCGTCACTATCAAACGCAGTGGGGGCCCTTTAGCGTCAATATTCAACTATCAGGGAGTCCCCATTGACTTGCATAGAGCTCCCTGAACGTTGGTAATAGACGAGTTGGGATCGCGGAGAAATGCTCTCCGCAGATCCATTCTCACAGTGTTTATCAACCTTTTTCTTACTCAATATCAAGCCACCCTTATTGTTTGTACTTCTTTATTTTAATTGAATAATGTAGGACTTTTGTTGCTGTCAGTTAGGGAGAGAGTGGGGGCTCAGAAAACTGAAATCTGTATTGTTTCATCGTTTTTTCCTTCTAATTTTGTATTCTTTTCTAAACCACACACTGTTATTTGCTCAACAATAAGACACAATTATCCTTGTGTTTATTTATTTGTTTGATTGTATAATGTCGGACTTTTGGAGTCCGTCAGGACCGACAGTCAGAGCAGCTCATTCGAACACAGGAAGCTGTATTTTTAAAATAAGAGTTCATTTTAATATTATGTTTGATAATATATTTTGTATTAACTAGACCACTGGGTCATGTTAAGATCATCTTTTCTGTCGGTTTGGTGTTACAAATATAAAAACAATATATGTGTGTATAATAAAATACATCCATCATAAACTAAACTGGAAACAGCAGTATATTTTATTCTGTTAACACTGTAAACTTGACAGTTTTTTAACCCGCCTAGTGGGTAAAGCACGTTATTGATTTTTTTTGTTGATATGTTATATTCGATGAAAACATACAAATATTAGAGTAGATACACATTAGGGGGAAAGTAGAAGGTCAATGATAGAAATATTGAACAGAAAATATCAAGAAGATACTGTTGTGATCTCTTCAATAAAACAGTTTAGTGCCGGATGTACAAAGATATTAATATGAGGATGTGCAAAACAGACAAACTAATAAGGCTTTATTCAAACATTAAAGAATACTTTAGGTTAAGGTCTTCTTTTAAATAAGAAAAAAGCTTTGGGGGTATCTACAGATACATATTAAGCCTGACAAAGTACTTAACGTCTAATATATTGCATAGTTTGTTTTGGGACTTGACAATCAACTTTCCTGCAATGTTAACTATGTTGAAGCACTTATTTTAACTGGTATTATACATATTAATTATACTCTTATAAGATGTATGTAGATAGAATAAGAAATGTGCAGAATATGACAATTCAATGATGGAGGTACACACATATCGATAGATGTATTGTAATGCCCTATAACTGACAGCAACAAAAGTCCGACATTATTCAATTAAAATAAAGACGTAAAAAGAATAAGTGTGGCTTGATATTGAGTAAGAAAAAGGTTGATAAACGCTGTGAGAATGGATCTGCCGAGAGCATTTCTCCGCGATCTCAACTCGTCTACTACCAACGTTCAGGGAGCTCTATAGAAGTCTATGGACATCCCGAAAGTTTAAATTTGACGCTAAAGGGCCCCCCCTTGCCTTGAAAGTGACAACAGGGACCCTGACATAACGTCAACATAGGCCGAGTTGGGAGTGAGAATGTGTTGGATATGAATACAAACCTGTCCTCACTTCCTGCAGGCTGACAGAGAGTGTGAGGAGGTCAGAGAGGAGGACAGAGGGAGCAGATCTCCTCCTGTAGAAATGTCTGTTCTCTCCATTTCCCACTACAGACACTTCTCAGAAGACAGTAAGCAACTCTGAGACATCTTTCTTCTTTGTGAGACACATTTAAAAAAAAGTGTTCTAAAAATGGTTAAACATCAGTACATGTTGTAGTATCCTGCTGCCTTCTAAGAAACAGGAACCAAGCCAGTGTAGGGTTATTTTTATAGCCACAAGTTTCAGTTCTTTTGAGGATTAAGTCATTAATGTGACTCAATTGTAAAGCAAGAGAAATGCTGTTTTAAAGTTCCATGTTTAAGAAACCTTTTACATGAAGCAGCTTCAAAGCTGAAATGATGCTCATGTGACAACTCCAAAATCTGTTCAAAACCACAAGCGTTCGATCTTTTGAGAAGGGAGGTCAGATTTGTGAACAGAGAGAAAGAACTTCCATATTCAATTTTATTTTGATTTTGAAAACATTTATTTTATTTCTTGCAGACTGACGATGACTCAAGTAAACCCACCGGCTCAGAGGTTTCCCAACATTACAGCTTCCTCGCTCCACAGCGCCCCCTGTGGTGTGTTTCAAGACTATATTTGATGTGTTCATGTGATAGCTCTAACCATTATCAAAACAATGGCCTGACAAATAGAAAAACCTGTCAGTAGTGATTTACACACACATATGTAAATATATACATTTATTTAAAGATTATTTTTTAAGAATTTGGCTTTGTGTTACATGTATAGACAGATATATTGAAGAGAGAGGGGATGACATGCAGCAGACATTTCTTCATTGTTCATGCTTTACCTCCTAGCACGACTTATGTGGAAAAAAAAGATGCATAACTTTTAAATGATTTATATTAAAGGAATGATTTAAAAAATAAATACAAAATAAACAAATTAAGAAAAATGGTGATGTGTTTAAAGATGTTGTTTATAGCAAGTTTTATAAATACAACATTATGTATTTTTCAAACAAGAAATGTTGTAATTGAAGCTAGTAACCTGGTAGATTTGAAAAAAGAAAGAAAATGGTCTGATTGGACGAAAACGAGTTGATATGATAGTCATACACGTTATTTTACAAAACACTAACACAACATGTTATGATTGACATGAAGTTACAACAAAGTCTATTTACATTTTTTAATGATACACAAAAAATGGACTTATTGGCATGAGAAAGTAGAGTTCAGAGTGTTTGGAGGAGGACTCTCATCATTTAGAGAAGTAAAGCAGTTCCTGAAGACAGAAGAGAGACAGCAGTAAACCATCAGACATGAACGTCCGGCACACTTTGATCTGCTTCTTCTTCCTCAGTGAGTAAATTAACTAAATATTTCTATCAGTCTCTCTTTTATTTTTACTTTATTTGTTTTTTGTATTTATATTTAAAGTTTGCACTGCACTGTCTGGTGAGTGCATCGTCTCATATCAGTCCAAAAACCTGTTGTTGGTTTCTGTGGATTAACACAGAGAGTCTCTTTAAAAAAAGTAGTTCATTACAAATATGAGTTAGTCCCTGAAAATAGAAACAAGCCTTTGTGTTTCAGCTCGACAATCTGCAATCAACCATTGTTCTTCTGTACTGCTTCTTTGGGTTTATAGGTGCTTCTTGCTGGGTTTAGTCTGCTGATTGGTAACGTTATTTTCTGTTTCATCAGACCGACTGTTGAGTAATAACCACAAGTTGCAACCAAAATAAATCTTAGCAGTAATTTCAGTTCCTCAAGGCCTTTCTTTCATTAACTTTACCTTTGCTAACCCACTTAGTTCATTTGATTAAAACCAGTAACAAACGCATCATAATGTTTCACATGCAGAGAGGCGACCAGTCATTTTCACGAGAACTGCTAAATTATGAAATTATAAACCTTATTTGCAGACTTTATTATGACATGTTGATACATTTTATTTTGTCCCTGCCGCTGACTATGAATAAAAAAGCTAAAATGCAGCACTGTATTAAATTAAATATGTTTGGCAACCAATAAAAAGCAGGATTTGATTCACCTAAATGTATTGGACAGAGAGTTAATGAACATTTTGTAATCGTGGGAGGGGTAAAAGTAGTAATAAAGGCACCATCTCTCCTCCATTTATAACAATTATAAATCACTTAAAACAAATCATTATCAAATTTACTGCAAAATATTACATTTGATAATGTTAACAACATTTTTGGACAATCTAAAATATATTTAAATCTTAGGAAATGTGAAGCAGGAAATGTTGTTCATCAGACTGCAGTGTATTAAAGGAATATAGTAAATATTCACTCGTCTTTTCAACAGCACTGAGGGATGGAAACAGTGGGCTCACCAATGCACAGAACCCCCTCCGTACAGAAACTGAAGGAACAAACTTCACAGTTGCATGCTCCTTTTCTTTCTCTGGAAGAAGGAAGATGTTCTGTAAGGGAAAATGTGAAGAAGGAAACATTCTGGTAGAAACGACCGGAGACTCAGAACAGAGAGGCAGATACAGCATCAGATATGTGGGGTCTGTATTATCTGTATATCTGTATGTGAGCATCACAAAGCTGACCAAGTCTGACGCAGGACGGTACCAATGTGGTCTGGACAGATCTGTACTTTTCCCTGGCTCACACCAGGACTTTGAGATCAGAGTTAAAGATGGTGAGTTTCTTCCGGGAGTTTTGATTGATCTGTTCACGAACCTCCGCTGCTGTTCCAAATAACCGAATATGTTTAGTGTTACAGTTATATTAAGAGCTTCATATTTTAAAATGCTCCTATTAAAAAACTAAACTAAATATAATCTGCTAAATATCTGATATCTACGGAAGAGGATTAGGGAAACCAGAATTCTGAGAAAAAAGTCAGAATACTGATTTGTTCACATCCCCCCTTTTTCTTTTTCATGTGGCCCTAATCCTCTTCCGTAGATATCCACCACAAACATTATAGGTTATTTAAATATTGTTGCACCAAACACATGAATTACCTCCTGCATCTAGCTACTGTACATGATTAGAAATGCTCTGATGCATTTGCAGATACATTTTATTTCAATGACATCTTAGCGTTCTTTGTTCAATCAGTATCTGATTTCTGTTTCATTGGGTTTTCTTTTTGTGCACAGCTCCAACATCTTCAAAACCAGAAGTGACTCCCCGACCGTTTCCAACATCAGCCTCCACACTGACCACCACAAAGGGTCTCTTTGTCTCTCAACAGGGACAGACAGCTTCAGATGGTCACGGTACTTTTAGTTTGTTGTTTGTGTTTATGGACCAGGAAGTGTCAGAGTAAACAAAGTGTTCTTCTGCTCTCAGGTGTGGTGCTGTATGTGCGTCTGACTCTGGTCGTCATGTTCATCGTACTCTCAGCGTCTGTGCTGATATTCTGCTGGAAGAGGGCCAGGAAACCCAGAGGTGAGTTTACAGGAAACAAACACATAACAAAAGCAATCGTTTGGACCTAATCTTCTGAATGTGATGTCTTTTAGAAACTGCTGATGAAGCTGAGTATGTCAATGTCACAGAGGTGAGTTTGAGTAAATCTCAGCATTTGTAATGTTCGTGCAAACAGCTGATATGAATACAAACCTGTCCTCACTTCCTGCAGGCTAACAGAGAGTGTGAGGAGGTCAGAGAGGAGGACAGAGGCAGCAGATCTCCTCCTATAGAAATGTCTGTTCTCTCCACTTCCCACTGCAGACACTTCTCAGAAGACAGTAAGCAAACACTGAGATACGACTGAAGCTTTGAGTTCAGAAAACAGTATCTTTGGACTTCAAATGCTAAAATAACTAGAGTAAAGTCAAAGTTTAACATCAGCGTTTGTTTCTCAGTATAACCTGTTGCCTTCTTAAGAAACAGGAAACAGTGCAGGGTGGGGTTATTTCTAAAGACAAAAGCGATGACTCTTTTGAGAAGGAAGTTAAGATCTGTGAACAGAGAGAAAGAACTTCCATATTTAAAAAAAGATGAACATTTCACACGAAGCAGCTCTCATGCTTAAACGATGATCATGTGAAAAAACATGAAAGTAAACTCTTAAAGGTATCAACTTTTCTTTGTTATCTTGCAGACTGAAGAGGACCTGTGTAAACTCACCTGCGTAAACTCACCTGCTTTGAGGAGGATGTGTCCCTCCGAGCAGGGTCCTCGCCCCACAGCGCCCCCTGTGGTGATCCAGATAACGTCATCTACTTCGTCCTTTGGGTAGAAACGACTTTGGACACGCAGAAGACGCTTTTTCTCCTCTCTACTCCCCTGTAACTAAATCAGATGCTGCTTCAACTCAATTCATTTGTAGGGTTTTAATTAGTAAACAAAAGCTATTTGGGTTTCACACAGTCTACATTAATAATAATAATAAAGCTTTATTTATATAGCAATTTTCATACAACACATGCAGCTCAAAGTGCTTTACAAAATGTCAAGTCAAAGAAAAAAAAGAAAAATATTTCCCCTCAGATTATTTGTTAAGAACTTTAAAAGGTGCATGCAGCAAAATATAACATTTTATCAGGTTAATAGACACAAGGAGGTAAAATGTATGATAATAAATAAATATTGACAGATCAGACACAAGACAACTAAATCGATGCAATAATATAAAATATAAAACCCCACAAAACAAAGTGAACATTTTGGTACAACAGAAAAAAAGAAGAAGATAATGGAAATAAAAATGCCATAATTCTAATAAAGGTTAAAAGGTTAAGAAATAAAAAAGACCAACTTAAAAATAAATATGGCTATTGAAGCATGTTAGATTAATAAAATAAGATTAAATCCTTTAAGACCTATACAATAATACAGTGCTGCTGTGAACCTGGAAATGTTGAGTACACCAAAGTTTTATGTTAGAAGTGTAAAGTACGGGTCCCGACCCCAGCACATAGAAACTGCCGGGTGCTAACCTGCATATGTTGGGCAATTTGTACATTAAGCAGATGTTGCGTTAATAAGCATGAATTACCATTATAGGGGAAACAAGTAAAAAAATGGCTTGGCTGAATTGGACAATTGTGCAGTGGTTTTGGGGGTAATGGAGGAGGCATTTTTCAGGATAAAAAATAGTTGTTTCCATATTTTCACTCCCGGTTGACTGATTTTGATAAATATAGAAAAAGTAATAAAAGTACAGTATGTCATATCAATTAAGTAGCAATAATAGTTAATTATGTGTTATTCAAATGTCATAGTATAGAAAATCATAACAAAGTGTCAGAGTACAATACGTACAAATATATTATTACGTATCCCTGTTTTTTCTTCAAATTTTGTATTTTAAAAGTTTCTCTTTGATATTATATGTTTTGGCTTTTCCTTTGACACAAATCATCAAGACAAAGTCCTTTCATTTGCAAAAATACTGCAACATCTTGGTTTGTCCTAAACAATGTCAAAACATTATATATTGTAGTATTTCATAAAAAATACAATTGTTTTAGCATTCGTTTTCATTTTTTTACCTTGTAGGATTGTCATTGTATGCCATAAAAATGTATATTAAGAAATGTTAAGTATGTTATAACGATGTCTTTGCAAACGTTGTGGAAAATGTATTAAAGGGGACCTATCATTCAAAATGCACTTGTGTACGTCTTTTATACATGAATATGTGTCCCCGGTGTTCCAGGGAACTCACCAAGTGTCAGAAAACACAACCCTCTCTCTTTTCCTCCATACCCAAATCTCTAAAAACGGGGCTGCAACGGATCTGATACAGACTGATCCAGATTTGAAATTGTTCTGACGTCAGAAACGGGGTGCTCCGCCTATATGGCAACTCTCCACCTATCAGGGGAATGAGAGGTTGCCGTGGCATGGTAACAGCATGGTAACATGATGCTCGTGCCTCGCCCCCCTCCTTTGAAGGGGGGCGTTGTCAGCTGCAGCTCATTTGCCACAGAATCAGCCCTTGCAAAAACAGGGCTGGAATACAGCAAATAGAGCGAAATGAGGCATGGCTAAAATGCATGATCTGTTTGGTATTTTGAAAAAAAAACTTCACAGACATGTTTTATATAGGTATGGCCCTACAATATATTATTCAAATATAGCATGATGGGTCCACTTTAAACATAAATAAATGTGTAAGCACCGCCTGTGGTGAAACAAGATACATTTAAACTATTCTGCCACAATTATCGCACAATAATTGGGATATAATTTGGGGTTTAAACTGTTACAGTCATTCATCATAATTGAGACTTAACTGTCAACAGTTGTCATTAAATATAACTTCCAGACGCTTTCCAATTATAAAGACGCAGACACACGTGAGAGAAAAATAACTGGGCAAAAAGAATGAATTAGAACAGACGCAGTCATTTCCATAGTTTAATGAAAATAAACTGGACATGAATTGAACATTGGCAGTTTAAACAGTTTATGGTCTTCATCTTTTACTAAATGTTACAATAAATATTTCCATCCACTAATCTCCTCCAGCTCTGTGTTGCCATGTTGTGTAACTGACTACACTATAAACAGCTTGGGACAATATGGCCGCTACAAGACACAGCAAACACAACTATACATGAACTACTCTCGTCTAATCTTTGTTGTTTTCAATTATTTCACAAAACAAGACAACAGCTAAACCCAAAACAGCATAAATAATATTCCCTTTTATTGTCCATAAAAAAATACAGTTAAAAAATGTAAATAACAACAATGATTAGAAATGGAAGACAAACACTTGGTTAATATTTCCCTTTTACAAACTTACAGTGCTCAAAGAAGAAAACAATGACTTGATAAAAATACAACATGTGAGGTTTAAATAAATGAATTATTGATGTGGCACATTACAGATAAACTCACAGAGGAGGAGGAGGAGGATGATGAAGGTCAGCTGACAGTATAAAAGCTGCATAGAATCAAAATGACAAATCTCTAATGTAGAGAAGACGACTTTAGGAGATTGTGTGCCGTTCTACTCTCAAGCAGAGCCTTATATTTATCCTTTATAGTGCTTCTTTCAAAGTCTTTCGCATTGCATCAAATGTATTCAAAGGAAGCTCTGTGCTTATTGCTAAAATGTACTTTTCCTTTCAAAGAACAACAGTTTAATATGTGATTCTGCTCTCAGTGCAGATCGTAAAGCATGAGTTCTTCTTCACTTTGTATTTAGAGCAGGAGAGAAAACTGAAAGCGCTGTCTTTAAAATTAATTTAGCGAATGAGCTACAAACGTGTACATTTAATATTTCTGCATCTTACAAAATGTGCTTTCTGTGTGCACCCCATTAGGCTCTCCTGCTCCAACACTGCAGTGCAGATGAACCCAGACTCCAAAACACAACACACACTTTAGAGAAACACACACACGAGAGAAAAAACATCAGTGGAAGAACCTTGATGTGAAACCTCAAGACGAAGAATCATATTTTTAATGATCTTAATTATGTTTGACTGTTTAAAGTATGATTCTTCATCTGGAGGATTAAGAGCAATACATTAACTTCAGTGACTCTGTCAGTTTTTAATATACAATATCATACTTCACACATTTATTGTAGAAAAATATTATTATTACCCATGTACTTATAAGTCATAAAATAAAGAGTCAGGATTGTGAAGCAACGAGGCAAAGTGCAAAAACAACAGAAGCTCCAGAGTGTCGTCTCTCCTCCGATATTAAGAATAGTTTGAGAAGAAAATATACACTTTGTTTTGGATCTTATTTATCTAATATGGAGCAAATACACACACACATCTTGTTAGAGGTCTCTGTTAGGTTAAATATGTGTCCCTTTATGATACAGTACAAAAAATAATGAATAATGTTTGAGTGAAAAGTATTTTTTCTAAGGTATTTAACTTTTTGGTTGGTGTTGCTTCACAGTGCAGACAGTCCACAGTGAGTTCATAGAGTAGTCCCTCTCCGTCCTCCTGAAGAAGCTGTTGTTGCCCTTCAGTGTTAATCAGTGAATTAAGGCTAATATCAGAATAGATGTCGATTATTGTTCCGTCAATCAACAAGTCGTCAAGAAGCTTATGTTGCCAAAATTGCAGCCTGAATGTCAACCTAACCATCGGGCCTCTGCTGCTGCGTGACATCAGCCGAGATGCGTTCAAGAAAATAGATAATAGATGGATCAATAATTATATTTCCACTTCTTTAGCTCTGCATCTGAAGAAGCCTTTAGAACAGGCTTGACATGCAGACAAAGGGACACAGTGTTTATGCGATCTCAAAGTAGCAAACAAGAACAGATTATATTTTTTTCAGGATGTCACGGTAACGTCAAACAACACAGGAAGCTATCGCTGCAGCAGAGACAGCAGTGACGGTTTCATCTGGAAACTTCTCCTCATCATCATCACAGCTTTTTTTAAAGTGTGCACTGCCTCTCTGCAGCCACTAGAGAGAGCAGCTGTCTCCCAGAACAAGAGAGGAGGAGGGCGACAACATACTGAAGACAAACCAGCAGTCACTATCAGACAGACAGGCGCCCTGAGGCAAGGCACTTCTCAATGTGTGATAAAGTAAAGCAGGCCGATGTGAATCTTCCCTTTCATAAAATACAGTATGATAAGGGCTCAGCAACATATCAAAAATATACTCGTATATATGAGAATACGAAATATCGTCTGTTCCTGATTTTAAAGGCTGAATTACATTAAAGCGATGTATTTTTCTGAAGTTATTAGACTGTTCAACTGATTTTAGCCACTTAGTCATTATATTCACAAAACTGATGATTATTTATCAAAATGTTCCTTATGCATATATACATACATAGATATCGATGTATTTGATCAGGATTAACGTGACTTGATTGATGATTAGATTTTCTCCACAGTATGATCAGGGCAGTGAATAAGGGACTGAGTCATGTTGATGAATCAGGATCATGTTCAGAGAGAGTATGTAAGATCAGGAGTGCTGACGCCATGTCATTAATAACAATCCCAACAACATCCTTCTCCAGCAAGAAGCCGAGAAATGAAAGGAAGGATTGGAAACAGGTGTCACCTCAGAGCTGCAACCTTTCTCCTTATGGCCTGAATTTATCGCCTTTTACTGATTTTACAGCTTTAAAAAAATACGAGGATGTTGGCAATATCTTAGATACAGTTGCTGAATTAACTCAGCAGTAGATATACATGTTGTTATGCAGTTCAATGATTGTCGAATGCCTACAAATGTGTGTTAAGTGACTTTCCGCACATTTCATTGGGGCAACTTCTTCATGATCACAGTCTCACTGACTTTGGGCCACAGTGCTTCAGAGGGAGTCAAATCCAAACTTCACACATCTAAAGTAAGGAGGTCGAAAAAGCGTGTTACATTTTTTTTTAAGAGATATTTCATTTTAGAAACTATTTGGCAGCAGATTGGTCGGATGCAATGTTGAAAATGTCCTTAAATCTTCTAGTAAGAATTTGTCTTTCCTAATTGATTTGAAAAACCTGAAGTAAACTTTTACGTATTATTTCGTTGGGCCAAAAGCGGCTCACATCCTCAACTGCAGAGATTTAACAAAACACAGCTTTGTAAAAACTCTACAACAACTCCAATTGAACTTAAATGATCAAATTCTGTTGTACAAGTTTAAACCAGCAACCTTTCAGAGAGCGTGTCCAGCAAAGTCTCCATTACTAAAATCTCTGCTAAGCAAGTAAACCTTAGGAAAAATTAAATAAAAACCATAATGAGTTGAACCCAAGTGCCTTAGTGCCTCTGATCCAGGCATGGTGACGCCCGTCCATTACAGTCAGTGGGTGTTTCTCAATGTCGAGGACGCTTGCTTGGTAGCACATGTCTTCCGAGTCACTTGCTTCAGAAGCGAGGCAAGAATCCTTCCTAGCCTCGGAAAACGAAGAATTGTGGAACAGGCTAACAGGTGTGCAGGTGTGCGTCATATATGCGAGGCCCCGCCTTAAATGGAACGCGATTTCCGCCAAAGATTTGGAAATTGGTCCGTGCGCAAAGCATTGTGGGGATTTTAAGACCGCGGAGTCTACTCATGTGCAGCCTCGAAATTTCTCGCTACGAAGTACGCCGGCCTCGGTAGAATTCCAAGTATGCTGGACATTGGAACAGTCCTTCGGCGGCACTCGATGACGTAGTATGCTTGGAATAGTGGCTCTGGAGCATCCTTCCTCGACATTGAGAAACACCCAGTGTGTCTCTGCTACGCCTGCTTCACCAGCTTCCTGAAATGAGGCATGACTTTGCTCTCAGGGAGGTACAGCGCCATCTCCAGGGCGACCAGGATGGTGAACTCAAAGGTTATGAGCTCCCTCCTGCTGATCCTGAAACGCTCCTCCAGCTTCTGCACACATAGAGAGAGAGACACACATTTATATATTTGTTGATACAGTAGGTACAGTATAACTCGATATAAAATACATTATGTAACAATGGCAGCAGTTAGCAGATATGCTAATATACAATACATCAATATTCCCTAGGAAAGTAAGAAAGATAGAAACCTAACGAGTAACACTACACAAGTACAGATATACAATACATAAGTTAACACAACATGACATAATGGCTCTTTGAGTTTGACTTTGGCAATTCATGTTTTTCGGTTTTATTCGGCTTTAAACTGATGAATGTTGTGCCTTTGATAATTAGTCAAGTGATGCTTCTGTGCTGCCACATTTCATAAAACAGAAGTGCAGTGTCATGTGTTCAGTTTTCTGATCGTAGCATCATTTCTACATTTGACTCTGAAATCCTACAGTTTATTTTAAGGTCTGTTCAAATTAAAATGCACTGGTACCGCCTACAGGTTGTGGCTGTGTAGCTCTTTTGACCTTCTTACGTAACCGTGTTCCTAAAAAGTAGCACAAAACTGTTTAAGCTTTTATACAATTCAAACTACAGTAAGTGGTATTATATATACAGTACTATTAAAAAAAACGAATTTTAGGGTATTTTAATTTGGCGCTGCGCAGTAGCTAAACATATTTTTACACTAATTTGAAAAGTAAATTAAATGCCGTGCTGTAATTACACAGTAAATACAATTGAGTAAATAGAGGTATATAAATGGTAAATTGCACGACTAATAGAAATAAAAAGAGAGAAATATTTAGGAAAATGATCTGCTTATGCGTGTGTGAAGTGAGTCAATAGGTATGAAGGACAGCAGCTGTCAGGCTCTGCAGGAAGTTTTCTGTTCAGGTGAATCAGCCTCACAAACACCTGAGCAGGAGCAACATGAGCTGACAGAGCGCTAACCCCCATGATGTGTGTGTGTGTGTGTGTGTGTGTGTGTCTGTGTGTGTGTGTGTGTGTGTGTGTGTGTGTCTGTGTGTGTGCGTGTGTGTGTGTGTGTGTGGGTGTGTGACTCACATCGATGAGGTGTTTGACCTCCTGTTTCTTGAGGTCACTGCTGATCTTAGCAGCCAGTAGGAGGCAGGCCGCTGACACCAACTTCCTGTGAAACAACAACAGTGATCGGAAACATGAGTTTGACCCTTTCCTGATCTGACATCAAAACAAAGTTGAATCATTTTCACAGGAAACAAGTATAACACAGCTACATTACAACATGCAGTTCTTGTGTTATGTGAGGATCAGATGTTGAGGCACCTGTTCTGTTTATTGAGTCGACCCTGCAGCACCAACTTCTCAAAGTAGACGAAGGACATGGCGATGGTGACGGGCTGCAGGCCGCAGTCCTCCCCCACCACCCTCATCTCTCTCTTCAGACTGAGACACAAACAGTCACAAAGTTACATTTTTGTATAATACAATTCTGTACAGGAATTCTAGCAAAGCGCAGACGGGCTTACAATGCGTACCACAATACATTTAATGTATTCTATTGTTATTTCTAAAACTTTTAGATTCCTTTAAAAAGTATAAAGTCGGTTCATTTCAAATGCTTTACCTGCGTATCTTGCTGAGGGTGAGTTTAATGTGAGGATACTTCTCCTTAAACGTCTCGTTCATGTCTTTCTTCAGATCAGAAGGTTTGACGTATTCTATTACCGTCGTCTGGAGGGTAAAAGATGACACAGACACACACATTGAAACACACACAAACACAAACACCAAGATCAATGGCAGTCATACCTCAGCCATAATCTTCAGTGATGGATTTAACAGTTACGATATAGCGTGTGTGTGCCTGTGTGTGTGTGTGTGTGTGTGTGTGTGTGTGATTCCATGGTTTATAATTCATCTGGAGGGATAAAACTAAGCTCCTGCCTATGGTATAATTATGCTGATGTAAAAAGCTGTGTGTGTGCATGCGTGTGTAAGTGTGTGTCTTTTCTCAGCTGGATTATTCTGTCCTCTGAGGTCTATAATCCTCTCTCCTCCTCCTCTCCTCTCTCTGTCTCCCTCTCCTTCACTTTCTCACTTTGCTCATTGAACACTTGAATGACGGTGTGATTTAGCTCTGAATCTACATTGTCATTATTGGACACAGCTATATAATTAGGTTGAAGCTTATAAAATATATCTTTTCTTAATGTCTTCTTACCATGTAGGAGGCGAAGATCAGCACCCGCTTGTGTTTCCCACACGGCCACTGGGGGTCACTGAGGAGGTTGGGGTCGTAGTCTGTTACATCTTCCAGACCTGAACAACACACACACACACACACACACACACACACACACACACACACATACAGAGTAAAGTCAGTGGAATTACTGTACAATAACATATAAAAATCAGAAATCACAGCAGTCTGTGAGTGGGAGGGGAGTGATGTAGGCACCAGGTTTGACAAAGAAGAGTAGATAAGTGTGAAAAAATAAAATATCTGCTGGTCTGCTTTTTTCCTCAAACTATCATTTTACACAATACAAGTCTATACTTATATAACACCATATGATATTCAAGATGATATGTTTTTTTGCTGTACTGTAATATACAATATATCAAGTTATCCTGTATTACATCTTCATATAAATTAGCCTGAGAAAGCATGGGAAAATAGGAAAATAAATAAATGTATCAATATAATCTGTAGCTATCTAGATACTGCTTGTTTTTTTAACTTTCTGTGTTTAATACTTTGATTGATATTAATATCATAACTCTAGGTGTCAATTATTGTTTATCTTCCCTAAAGAGCTTAGAAGTCCAACACTGAACAAGTTAGGTGGACTATTGAATCTATTGATTGATTAGTATGAATATATCATTGTCTCTTATGACAGATCTCTGCTTCCTTTCTGAGAGCCAGAGAGAAAGATGATCAAAATAATTAAATCAGATATTTCTCAGTGATGTGTTTAGCTTAGCATAAAGACTGAAAGCAGGGGGAAACGCTAGCCTGGCTCCACTTCAAACAAGTCTATAGATACTTTGTATTAAATGTTGTTTTACGATATGGCATTTAATTAATGTAGGAAGTACAATTAAACTTCACATAAAAACCTGGAAGTCCTGACCGCGTGGTGCAATTGAACATTTTACAGTTTCATAACTCAGAACAAAACCTTGTGTGAGCAAACTAACACAGGACATGTGACCACTGCCGCTTCGAGAGCCTGAGAGACTGAAGAAACGTCACAAGACTAAAAATATAAACTGCTATCAACATACACACTAACACACAGACACAGACACACACACACACACACACACACACACACAAGACGCTATTCAGATGTAATTCTGAAACACACTCACAGCTGTGTTGTGTTAATGAACGGTTCTGCATTCTGAGAGGTACAGAGGCTAATAGAGGGCTGTGTCACTGCATGTGTGTGTGTGTGTGTTTGTGTGCATTTATAGATAGCACACACATGAGACACAGCATGTACATACACACATGTTTAAAATATAAAGAAGCCCTTCCAGCACAGCTGTAGATACTCCTTCTTCTTCTTCTCTCTCTGGTCTCATCGCTTCAACCTGTGTTTTTTTTCTCTTCCTCTCTTCACATCCTTCCTCTTCATCTGAATTTTCATTCTTTCTCTCTGCAGTAACAAACACGCCCTTCTGCCTCTAATTCCTGTATCAATAAGGGCTGCACGATATAGGTGTTATGCCAGAAAAATGTTGAACATCGCCAAAATGATATTACTTGCAATATATTAATACAGAGACTTTAGTGTGCTCTGTTCTGGCTTTCTCCTGCATGAACAACTGCATTTTGAATTAAAAACAAAAGGGGGAATTGCAGAACAAAAAATGCATGGAAAATAAATAATAATGTTGTTCTTATACTCTCTTAAAACTAACAAAACCAATAAAACAATATATTGTGCAGTCCTAGCATCAATGTTCTCTTACTAAGTCTAAATGCAATTACCCTATCCACGCCTTGATTTGACTTAAAGAGTTGAAATAAATCCAATGCTAGGGAAACAGTGTGTGTGTGTGTGTGTGTGCGTGCGTGCGTGCGTGCGTGCGTGCGTGCGTGCGTGCGTGCGTGCGTGCGTGTGTGGTTGTTACCTAAGTCAAGTCCCACGGTGCTGTTCAGCCGGCTGGGGGGGGCGCTCCTGCCCGGCATGCTGTGTGTGCTCCTGGAGACGGGGATCTGCAGCGTGAGGTCGCAGGACGACGCCGGCTTCTGCCTCACCAGGGCGTTGGTGGGGTACAGGAACTGGGCGTAGGACACCGACTGAGAAAGATGGAGAAATAGAATAATTAACTACATCTTAAAGGTGGGGTAGGTAAGTTTGAGAAACCGGCTCGAGATCGCTAGAATTTACAGTACTAAGGCTTCCACAGATGACATTTTTTAATGGATTTTTTGGCAAAGCACTTAAGATATTCATTGCTATCGGGATGTTAAGAGCATTCCATGGAATATAACAAAAAGTGTATCTCGAGCCGGTTTCTCAAACTTACCTACCCCACCTTTAAAGGTCACCTATTATGCAAAATCCACTTTTTCATGTCTTTTATACATCAACATGTGTCCCCTCTATGTAAAGAGATTCTGAAAGTTTCAGGAACAAAGATTCGCTCACTTTTTGTCCTGATCCATTTATATAAAAACCTGTCTGAAAATGAGCTGATCAGATTTTGGCCACTTTATGATGTCATAACGATTTGTTGGCTTGTGTAACCATTAGCCAATCACCAACCAAGGTAACCCCCCCCCACCTTATCACCTGAATCTCCTCCTAGAGCACCATTGTGTTCTTTTTAACCAAATATCTCTCAGAGGGGCGTGGGGAGGGGCTCCTTATTTTCATCTAAAGTAACAGACAGAGAATCAGCACTTTTGAAACAGGGCTGAAACAGAGGGGATTATGGGATGCTGCAATGATCTGTTTGGTGTTTGGAGCCAAACACTTCAGAGACATGTTTTGTATTTATCTGAGACCTATAATATATTGATGAAAAACAGTATAATAGGGGACCTTTAACACGTGAAACTCTCTTTGATGATAAAAACATATACGTGTGTGTTGACCCACCCTGCCGTAGGGGTCCAGCTGGAAGCCCTCCAGCCCCGGCAGCATCTCCAGAGTGGTGGAGATGTTCCCCGACGAGTGTCTCCTCCTGGTGTGGTTTAATGTCGGGTCACTGCAGGGAGAAAGATGGTACTTACGATACGATAATACTTTAATGGTCAGATCAAGTCTGACATTTGACTTGCATCACAGCAGCTCCATGTGTAACATCAACACAGACAAATATCAAGACACAATACATGAAAAACAAACAACAAACATTTAACATAACAGCACAATCACTGAGAGAAAACATGCTCAAAGACCCTTTAGCAGGCATTTGATCTGGGATTCAGCTCTGTGTTTACTGTGAGGATTGACTGGAGCACAAAGGAGTGCTTCAGTCTGACCTTAGTGAATCGCGGGACCCTGTATCTCCCATTATATGGTAGCTGTTCATATTCGCTGTTCAGAACATGGTTTGGGTCCGAGATGAGTTGTACTTAAAGGTAGGGTAGGTAAGTTTGAGAAACCGGCTCGAGATACACTTTTTGTTATATTCCATGGAATGCTCTTAACATCCCGATAGCAATGAATATCTTAAGTGCTTTGACAAAAAATCCATAAAAAAATGTCATCTGTGGAAGCCGTAATACTGTAAAAAGCACGACCAATCATTTTAGCCGGCCCGGCTAAAATAACTGGATGGCCTACCTGCCTGTCAGCCTTCCATCTGTGCACAAACTTATCTCGTTCCCTCATTGGTCATGTGCGCGTTCGTGTGTGTTGGAGGAGGGGCTCTGTAAGGAAGTGGCAGATCTTTTCCGGTTGTGTATTTTCAAATTCTAGCGCACTCGAGCTGGTTTCTCCAAAATTACCTATCCCACCTTTAATGTTGTGTTAATTATAACATGTGAGTTTAACTTTATATTTGACGTGAATCTTTACCCTGCTTAACACATCCACACAGATCTTATGCTAGTCTGCTTTTACCTGTCGTTCCTCTATGATGTCACTGTACCGCGCCCATAGTGCTTTAATACTATTGGTTATCTGACAGTACAATAACACTACATTAACAGCGACTAGAGTCGTTCCCGGCAGTAAGTTATCCAGCAGGGATTTACATTTCTAGACTGTTTTGAATGCTAATCCGTTCATTTTGAATATAGTTTATAATATTTTGCGATCTGTTTGATAAATAACAGGCTATAAAGACTAGCAGCACCCATACTCATCTGAGACAGACAGAATGATGCAGATATACATGTTTTTACAAAGTTTTTCCTTCCGCCCGGGACAGAGTTGGACATGTGGTGTCCTGAGAGGGAAAGGTCAAAGGTCACTTCCCAACCACAGCCACATTTACTCTCACAGTCTCAAACCACAGCATCAGAAACAAGATAACACTGGAAATTAGATGCCCGAGCGCACTTCCTCTTCCGACCAGTGTTTCTCACGCTGCCTGAAGAACTGAATGTGTGTGTGCGTAGAAAAGAGATCAAGGAGGAAGTGTACGTGTGTTCATAGTTATCTGTGTGATAATCCTTTTTCCTGTGTATCAATACTTACTATGATGTGCATGTGTGGCGTGAATGTGACGTGATACTAAGCATGCATAAGGGTTCTGGTATCAAAACGTCTGAAATTGTGTGTGTGTGTGAGTGTGTGAGAGTGTGTGTGTGTATACATGATAGAGAGAAAGGGATAAGCAGAAGTTTACATAGCTGTAGTAACATCTGTATTTTCAGCTGTGTGTTAATACAGTATCTGAGTATGTGTGTGTGTGTTAGAGTCAGAGAGAATAGGAAAACATGATTAGTGTGTCTACGGAGACTTGAGCGCTTATCTATGGGGAAGTTTATGTCGGATTATATCAGTGTGTGTGTGTGTGTGTGTGTGTGTGTGTGTGTGTGTGTGTGTGTGTGTGTGTGTGTGTCAGCAGTTTGAAAGCCCTCAGGACAACTGGGGAGCCTCTAATGCACATGGGGAAATCTTGTTGCCCGCTCAACTATCTTCTCTCTCCCTTTTTTTAGTCCGCCTGTGAGGAAATCACATCTCTCCCTCCCCTATCGACGATCTAAAAGTGTGTGTGTATGTGTATATGTGTGTATGTGTGTGTGTGAGTATATGTGTGTATTACCTGAGGTAGAAGCTCTCTCCGTAGGGCAGAACAGAGAAGGCAGCACACAGAGATCTCTTCGCACAGATAAGCACGATCCTGAAAGACGAACAAACATAAGTGGTAACGTTATTATAACATCTGTTCGGTTGACTGCTGAGAAAAAAAAGAATCACTCGGCACATTGCCAAGCTTTTTTATCACACTTTTATAGCCAATTAAACACACAGAAACCAACCAAAGTAGGGCCGTGCTATTAATTAAAGCAACATTACGACTCTCCAACCAACATAAATGTCTTCATTCATCCCATTGATGGAGTAGTTACATAACAGGATAAACACATTTATTTATGTGGAGGCGTGTGGTGCAGTGGGTTGTGTGTTAGTGTTGGGATCAGGGGGTCACAGGTTCAAACCCCACTGCAGTCAGCATGTCGTTGTGTCCCTGGGCAAGACAATTCACCCCAAATTGCTCCTGTGGTGATTGTTCACAGTATTGAGTATGTAAGTCGCTTTGGATAAAAGCGTCTAACAAGTAACATATAATGCAATGTAATTTATAATGTCAAATATTTAGAAAAAATTGCAATATGTGGAATGGAGCACATTTAATTTTACAATTTGAATAAAAACATTATGAATAATTATCTTACAACAATATAATTATGTTGAATGGAGATTATTTTTTTTGTTTACATTTTAATGGCAATACTAATTTTGACACTTATTTAAGGTTATGCATTCAAATCATTATATTGTTTTGATCAAAATGTATTCGATTTAGTTTCAGTTTTGTAATTTTTTTCATTTTACCTTTTATTTTAATCACAATCTCTGCTGTTGTTTTTAATCCACTGACCAGATGTTTGTTTTGGTCGTTTAATAGTGAAAATCTTTTGGTTTTTTCCCAGGTTCACACTCAATAAAAGTGTACTGGAAACATGCGAGACATCTGGCGGTACCTCACAGAGTAATTACGTGAGCATTTATTCACAAGGTGGAAAACATTGAGGAACTGAGCTCTGACAAGAAGTAAAAATGTCAAAACACACACTCGACACGTTCCTAATTGACCCAAGTGTTCCACCTGCACCTTTATCCAGACGCTGCATAATAACAACATGGTTTAATGGAGTTTCGATGGGATAGTGTGCGTGTGTGTGTGTTTTAATTGCGTATCCTCTGGAGTATAAACCCCTGTGAAGAAGAGACTGCACGTTGCTCGCCTGCTTTGTGTCTCAGAGGAACATGTTCACAGTCATTATCTTTGGCTCAGGCACCAAAGAGACTGGGAGGTGATTCGCAGTGTGTGAAAACATAAACACACTTACCCTTGAGTGTATCGTGTTTGTGATGATGAATCATTTATACACACACTCCTTCATATTTATGTATATATACGGTATATGGAACCACTATCAGACCTCATCATTGACCTTGGGTTACCCTGACGGCACTAAACAATAAAAACAGGCCACACATTGAGAGAGAACCGAGGTTAACCAAAGATATAGGGAGGCTGTGGCTCAGTGGGTAGTGTGATGGACTTCGAATCAGGGGATAGCAAGTTTGAGTCCCACTGCAGTCAGCATGTTGTTGTGTCCCTGGGCAAGACACTTCACCCCAAATTGCGCCTGTGGGGATTGTCCACAGTACTCAATGTATGTAAGTTGCTTTGGATAAAAGCATCTAACAAATGACATGTCATGTATTGTAATATAACATCAAGTCAATCTGGAGACTGTCAGAGTGGACAGCAACAGAAGAAGTTGCAGCCAAATCAAACTGCAGTTAATCAGAAGACTGGCAGAGAAAGCAGCAAATCAACCAAAGTAGTTACATAACCTGGATTATACAATATGAGCAAATAAAACCCAAGCTTAAAAAGGAGCAAACCCAAATCGTATAACTAATATGGAGCCTGCACTCTTACACAAGTTGATTGATGCCATTTTTCTTATTAGAGGGGTGCAGTGATGAGATGTTTGCGTACTCCAACCGGGGAGTTAGCAACGCAAGGGGTCCCTCGACAAAAGGCAAAGGGATTTCCTGTTGGATTTTGTAAAAAGGCAGAAAATAAGCTGTGTGTCCAACAAACATTTATATTTTACACATTCTGCTCAGCAGGATAACTTCTAACTATTAACATCACTTTGTGATTTTTGAAGCCTGAATACAATTGACAAAAATAAAAAGCTACGTAATGCTATATATTAACTAGATCACGGTCGAATGGCTGTGCGTCACCAGCGCTGAGTCAAAGGCCTCAGCGTGAAAACGTTTAGTAGTCTCATTAAGTCACTTGTTTAAAACCGCTGTTTCTGTGACACATCAAAGTTATGGACATTCACAAGTGGGATATTTATTGTTGTGTTTTATGTCGTATACACGTGGAAAGCTTAACAAGGCCTTATTTCAAAAGTCAAAGTCAACTTTATTGTCAATCTCAAAATATGTTTGTACACACAGAAAGATCGAAAAAACCAGAGGTATAAAAAAACACACATTAAAATACAAGAACAAACATTTTGTCAGTGGTCTTCTGACCTCAAACACGTTAAAAAACCATTGACTTCAAAGGAACAGGAAAGTGGTCAAATGCTAAGTATTTGCTGGATTATAGGACTCATTACTGCATCACTCTATTTTGTAGGACTGGGATAAGGATATAATTCAAGAACATTTGGGAGGCAGGGTGTGAAAGGGGATCATTTCTTGCTCATATTTATTTTATATTAAAATAGTTGGTAATAAAAAAAGTCCCACTGTTACAGAGTTATAAAGAAGAAAGACAATAGATACAGTTCATTCAAACACTAGATGTTTTTACAGGCATTAAGAGATTCTCCTCACCATACATTTTTAATAAGGATCAAACTGAATGGAGGATTCAATATGCTTTCATCTCAACAGAAAGATGTTGTGGCTGTTATTCAAAATACCAGGAAGTAGAAGAGTTTGATAAACTGATATATAATTAAACAGGAAACTACAAATAAACTAAATGAAGTGCTGTGATTCACACGAGCTGAACATAAGCTTTTCTGCTGGAAATGTGGACATCAATATGAGAAATTCACACACACACACACACACACACACACACACACACACACACACACACACACACACACACACACACACACACACCACACACACACACACACACACACACACACACACACACACACACACACACACACCACACACACACACACACACACACACACACACACACACACACACACACACACACACACACACACACACACACACACACACACACACACCACACACACAACACACACACACACACACACACACACACACACCACACACACCATTTCCCTATGATGCATGGGAAAGTGAAGGGCAGGAAGTCGCCAGGGAGGTCATTGGAAATCATCACAACAGGCCGGCTGGAGGCATGACTCTGCTGGGGATTCTGTCCGCAGCCATTTATGACCACACATTTCATAACAGTGGGGAACCTTAAGGAAAAACACCAGACACATCCCACTGGGAACATGGCCCAAGGGTTGCAACTACTGAGCTAACTGCACACAAATACCAAGAAAATAGGGTCAAACATCCTGAGACATTAAGGGAAAAGTCTTTTGTAATTCAGCTCAACATCCATACACAAAATAATTCAGCATTCACCAACAGGAAACGCTCAGTACACAGGATGTATGATAGAGCAGTGTTATTTTTAACCGTAGGCTGTCTTTGTTCAGTTCTTTAACAGATTAGGCTTTTTGCATCCCAGTCACAACATGTCTAAGTTTGGAATTATTGTTTTTAGTTAGCGTTTTTGTCTGGTCAACGTGACCGGTAAGATTTCAGTTTACCAGATAAATGGGAACATTATGGATAATCAGTATCTGTGTTTATTATTTAGCTTGAAAACAATTGATCAAGAAGGCTTTATAAAGAATGACATCATCAAGACATGTAGATTTATATTTTATAGACAACACACAATTAGAGCTTCAGTTCTCTTTTACTTACTTTTATTTAAATTGTCCAAAAATAACTTAGATTTTTTTTAATTTAGGTGCAGTATTAAAAGTGTTTCCATGTTAGCTAAATGTATTGATATACAGACAATATTCAACGTACTGTACATTCAATTCTACGTGCTACGTTGAAGCTGAAAAACTGCAACAGTCACACTTGATGATCCTTTAAATATCCCCAACAACCCAACATAGCATTCAGACCAGTTTGTGAGGCAGCAGAGCTCTAACATTAAATGTTCTCTGAACGCTGCCCTCTCTTCTGCGTGATGACATGGTGACAAACACCAGCTCTGCCGCTTTCAGCTGCATCTATTCTAAAACAATCTGGACTCCGTCTATAATTATCTGATGAGAATGCCTGCGTTCCTTTGACCCAGAGGTCGGATTTATACACCCTTCAAGGAAGGACGAAAATAGAGAACAATAGAGGAACGATTAGACATCAACACTGTCCAAAAGAGAAACCGGCAGCCTTCCTCTCCACCTGTGGAGTAAAAGCTGCACACTTCTGCATGTCAGCAGAGTCTGTGAAGGTTCATGGTTGAAGACACCGAGGCACAGTGGAAAACTGGAAGTATGAACATTATAACCTTGACATAAATCTTACAAACAATTACCTCAAATAACTACAAATAGAAATTGTGATATTTTAGGTAAGTGAATATGTTTGTGGTTTGATTTCATATTTGGGTAATTTTTTTTATTTGACATGTTCAGGCTAATACAAGAGGGAACATAGGAGAATGTAGCTATAAAACTGCACCTCAGACAGCATTCCCGCTCGCCTTCTCAGAGATGTTTTGGAATCAGTTGGTGCAAGTATTTTATTACTTATAAACACCTCTCTTAGCTCAGGATGTGTCCCAGCTGCCTTCAAACATGCCGTGGTTAAGCCACTACTTAAAAAGAAAAATCTCGACCCCTCCATTCTCGCAAATTTTAGGCCCATCTCCCAGCTACCTTTTTTATCTAAAGCTTTCATCTAAACTTTCTCAACCTCAACGAGAGCAAGACTGAGGTCATCTTTTTTGGACCCCAACCTCCAGCCTCTCCAGTTGATATTCTGGGCTCTCTCAATAAAAACATCCTCCCCTCTGTTATGAACCTTGGAGTGACCTGCACTAGCACTTTTAAATTCGACAAGCAGGTCAGCACCGTAGTCAAATACTGCTTTTTTTAAATAAGAGTATTGGCCAAAACCAAGTCGTATTTATCTTTTAAAGACTTAGAAAGGGTTATTAACGCCTTTGTAACCTCGAGACTGGACTATTGTAACGCTCTGTATGTGGGTATGGACCAGGCCTCAATTAAACGCTTACAGCTAGTCCAAAACGCAGCTGCACGTTTGCTGACTGGCCACAAAAAGCGTGACCACATCACCCCTATTCTGGCCTCACTACACTGGCTTCCAGTTCGGTTCAGAATTGATTTTAAAATCCTTTTATTTGTTTTTAAAGCACTAAATGGGCTGGCTCCGGCCTATATAGCTGAACTCCTCCAGCGCTACACCCCAGCCAGAGCTTTAAGGTCTGCTGACCAGCTGCTGCTGGTAGTGCCCAAGACCAGGCTTAAAACCAGAGGGCACCGAGCCTTCGCAGCAGCTGGCCCTAGGCTCTGGAACACTCTGCCCCTCCATGTGAGGTCGGCCCAGACCCTTGGGGTTTTTAAATCTACACTAAAAACACACTTCTTCTCTCTGGCTTTCTAGTTAGAGCGGAGCACGACTCCTGACTTTTCCCTGTGTTTTTTTTTATATATATCTGTTGTAATTTATTGTCTTTTATTGTGATTGTAGTAATGTGTTTTTATTACATGTACAGCACTTTGGCTCGACCAAAAATCGCTTTTAAATGTGCTTTATAAATAAAACTTGATTTGATTTGATTTGATTTATAAATTCAGTGTTTTAAAAGGATCAGAAATGATAGCAGCAACCCTTATCCTGCACTTTTGCGATTTGTCAAGGAGGAAACAGTGCAGGAGATATTGCAAACTGACAATGCAGGGTCAAAGTCAAAACATATTTTAAAAAACTGCTAAATGTACATATGTAACCAGGTAAATTGCATTAAGAAGGTATTCAATGTTTTTGTTTGTTTGTTTCATTTTATTTTTCCCCTTAATAGGCAGTATACACAATCCTAAGCCAGCTGGCCTGACCTTGCTGTGTTTAGCTGTTTTTCTGTAACTCTACACGCTGCTCAAATGTGTGCTACTTTAACTTCAATTATACATACTGTACAAGATGTATAAATATAAGTTATTGGACCCACCACTTCATTACTCGACTTATCAGAGGATTAGATAAAAATACATTTTGATAATGTTCAAATAACTTATTTTATCTTAAACATTAAACTGATTTTGCTTGTGTGTCCATCTGTAATGTCAGAATGATGAGTGTGTCCCACCTGCTGCCTCTCGTGTCGTACTGTTTCATGTTTTTGATGAAGTGGGTCTTCTTGGTGTGCCGAGGTCTGGGAGAGCCACCAGAGAGGTTACGAGTCCTGCAGAGAGACAGACACACAGAGATTAATGAAGTGTATCACTCTCATTTCAGTCACATTTCAGAAAGATGCTAGAGAAGGCATTTGAGTTAAGCACACACACTTCAATGTAAGCCTGAAATCAAATAAAACATAGTGTCTAAAGCAGAAAATCAGCATACAACGACTCCTCAATCAGAATGGGCACTTTCTTATTACAGGTGTTAGCAACAATACAGGAAATGTGTGTGTGTGTCTTTGTTTGTGTGTGTTTCCCTGCAACTGTCTGCTGAAATCAGGTTGTGACACTCTGTCGAGCTTGTGGATTAAAACAGACCGTGACGTGAAAGCAGGCCAAGGAGCTAAACTCACTGACATCACAGCAGTTAGTTACATAACATTACGGCATCTGCATAGAGACACTCACACACACACACACACACACACACACAGCTTATATGGCACCTCCACAGCCACAAATGTCATGTCATGCATTAGACACACTCCCATTTCTTTACTTATAGCACACATGCATAATCCCAAAGCACATTCTCCACACATACTGTAATTGTGCACACATGTATTACCACCACACACAGAAACACTCTCCTCATATTCTGTAAATGCTTTCAGGAAACCATTTCTGTGACCAACTAAAATGTATCTTATATTTTATATGTGTTGTTTAAATCATCACCACCATACAAGAAGTTGTGCACCCCCCAGAAGCCTTCAGTGCTACATCCAGACATTTGCATAAATATTATATACCAGGTCAAACATTGTTTAACACAAAGCCAGTAAAAAGCATAATTTCCGTCGAATAAGTAACAGTAGATATTACAATCTTATTTTAATAAAACTTCAAGTGGTAATTATATCAATTATTGACTGATTCAATACATATTTTATTTGTATAACTGTACACTGCACAAGGATAAAGACAAACAACCTACATCAAAAAGATGGAGCTATTTTAGGTCATAATAATCCTATTTCTTGTGAAACAAAAACATAAATAAGGTGTAAATAATCACAAAACAGGCAATATAACCTAAATATGGAAATGGGGTTGATTCATTACAGCATGATAACCTAAGTACACATAATATGCAGTGTCATATAACTATATTCATACTATAAAAATAATACATTACTGAGGCACGTGCAATAACACAGCACTTAGATTTAAACAGAACACATCAAAAGTGAATTGGAACCCAAACCCCAGAGGGAACCAGAGGACCTTCTGCTCACACACACACACACACACACACACACACACACACACACACACACACACACACACACACACACACACACACACACACACACACACACACCACACACACACACACACACACACACCACACACACACACACACACACACACACACACACACACACACAACACACACACACACACACACACACACACACCACACACACACACACACACACACACACACACACACACACACACACACACACACACACACACACACACACACACACACACACACACACACACACACACACACACACACACACACACCACACACACACACACACACACACACACACACACACACCACACACCACACACACACACACACACACACACACACACACACACACACACACACACACACACACACACACACACACACACACCACACACACACACACACACACACACACACACACACACACACACACTTTTATTTGTATGGCTGACCTGGTGATTCCAAACCACATTGACTTTAAATCAACACACACCTTTGTCTGTCAGTCAGTCGTTAGTAACCTTAACTCTTCCCCATTTTGCTCTGCCTTTGCTATCATGTGAAATAAAAGTGTTCTCATCATTTTAACAATTTGGCCAGTCACCACTGTATTGTTTGTACCTGATCGTTAGACACTTCAGTATAAAGTTGCGAAAAGTTTTTTGTGGATGTGTACTCATTCTCTTTTAATCATTATTTGTGCAGCGCTTCAGCTTAAAGTTAAGCTTCATTACACTATTACTCATAATATAATACTTTTTGTAGAATGAGATTCCATAAAAAATAGACAAATGATTATACTTCAATCCATATTAATTGTATTTACTTGCACTATTTGTTCTGTTTTATTGTGTTGCACTGTTGGAGGAGCCTGTGACCTAAGATTTTCATCGACAACACTACACTGTAGCTATGTACGTATGACACATAAAAGCCTTGAACCCATAGACTGTATATATAGAGCTTGAACCTTGATGTCTGTTGGCATTAAGAATTTAAAAACCAACATTTTCACTGCAGTCAAAAAACTGTTGTCTCTCCTACTTGCAGCACACAACACCTTCAGGGCTGTCTAGGAACAAAATAACAGCAACGACAATAGATTACATAATCACAGTAACAAAAAGATCTATTCCCTTTTAATTTAAGGGTAATCAAATATGGCGAAGAGTTCTAAATCTTCATTCCTAAACTTTATTATAATCAAAGTTCGGTAGAGCCCTTATCCAACCATCATGCTCTTGTTTCCGAAACACAGAGAGTAACAACAATCCTCATTCTCTGTGGGTCCCTGTCAGCACTAAGGGAAATATGTAAGAAATAGAAGGAAATGTGCTGATGGAAACTACGCACAGCGTGAAATTAAGAAATACATCCTTCAGATCTGGAAATGAACACCACAACACGATGTCAGCAGCATGAGTCAGCTTACTCTGGATAAAAATACAGATGAAAAGTACGCAGACCATTACAGTCTCGACTTCACTTATTATTAGACACTCTAGTATTATTAAAACAATGAAAGTATACACATAAATCTATATATAGTCTTATGATTTTATCTTTTGAAGTTACTGTAGCCATGGTCACTTAATGGAATCTTCTCAGCGTTCCATTTCCACAGAAACCATCATTCCGGAATGTCGTGGAATGTTTCTATTGTGTGGGAATGGAAAGAGCTCATTAGCCAAAAATACCCCGAGCGGATGAAGGTGATCATGATGATGACAGTAGCTGGAGTTTCATGTAAAGACACATATGGCAGATTGAGTTGATAGAGAGTGGCACATTTAGGGTCACATTGGCTCTGAAGTTGGAGTGCCTTTGAGCGTAATGCTGCAGCAACCTGACCTTTTATTTTGACATCCGTAATGTGTTTTGTCTCATTTCGTGCAACCACCCTTACATAAGCAGGAAGTATACAGGGCTGGTTGTTGTTAGGACCTTAGTTATTAGATATTTTGTGCTTTGAGATATATCAGCATATTTGTAAACCAAACATCTGTTATTGATGATCAAATTAAGTCAGCTTTTGCAAATGGGGAATTCTGCTTGAACACAAGCAGCCACAAAAAAACCTCCCCCAAAATAAATGGCGACACATTGGAAAAATGTATTATATAAATCAGGACCTATCTGACCAGATTTAAGTAAACACAGATGAGACATTCAATGCTGACTCTTAGTGCTTGGACCATAGATTGTAAATAAAATCTGTTAGTGTGTGGACTACGGCTTTGAAACCTTGACTTTGTCATTTTGGACGTCACCGTTTTGAGTATTGGCCTTTGCTATCTTGATCTTTTTTTACAACCAAAAGCTTAAAGCTCCCATGTCATGCTTTTCCGGTTATTACCCGTCCCCTTGTGTGTTATGAAGGTTTTTATGCATGTAAACGGTGTGCAGAGTCAAACCCTCAAAGTACACCCTGTAGCGAGTAAAACTCTAACACAGAAAATACCTCCCCAAAACGCCTCGTTGGAGATACGTCACTGCCCATTTGATTCTTCCGGGTACCGCATGATGTCATGCGGTACCCGGAACGAAATGGACCAATCCCGAAGAGCTATGGCCACACCAGCAGCGGCGTGTTCCTCCTCCAGAGGTTCGAAGAACCGGCATTTCACAGACGAAAGCTTCCAAAACATTGCCCAGTTTGAGGCCGGATATGCACAGCTTGTTTGGACCGTTTGGAGCAGGGGAAGATCTGGGTATACAACCTGTAAGTTTGCATTGTTATTTGTGTATTTATCAAACAAGACTGTTTAAATGTGTAAACTGTGTTGGACTGCTAAGCCATTGACACAGTGCTAACTGTGCTAACTAAGTTGCTAGAGTTTCCATATATCAACTCTAATATCAGCAGATGGCCTTGCATACATGTATCTCATAGCAGGAGAATGTCTGCATTCACACACAAAATACCTATTGACAGTATACTCCGGGTGATTTGCCGGTCAGTCGCGAAACGTAATTACATTATAGCTGGCGTAGCGATCTAACACACGGAGCTAGAGCTAGTTTTGGTCAGAAAAACATTTTGTGATGCTACGTTGCTAGCGTTTAAATATATCAACTACAATGTCAGCAGATGGCCTTACATGTTTGTCATGGCAGGAGAATGTCTGCAGTCACACACACGGAATACTCATACAGTATACTGTACTGTGATTTACCGTACATTGTGACCGTACATATACTGCATGTAGCTAACGAGGCTAGCTGTATGCTAGCGCAAAACAATGTATTCATGCAAGTTACATTGTATGGTAGCAGAATACCCGTATACGATTGCAATTATAAACACGTTATTGCTAGCCTAATATGAACCACTAGCTTTTGTTCATAGTAGTTTTATTACACTGCATTATAGTTGCCTTTCCTCCAAGCTAACGTTCATATCGTGTTAGCTACCAAGGTAAACAAAGCTAGGTTAGCATATTAGCAGGCAAGCTGTTCATTACACAACTACTACTAACTAATCTAAAACAACTAAGTTTCTCTAATATTTTGTGATTTGCATTTGATTTCGTCCAGCCAGATCCTGGCGGACAATCCATGACGGGGAAGGGATTCTACTACTACTGAGGGTGCTAAAAGGCACCGCACCGACTGTGCGCAGGCAAGATGCGAGGAGGAGGAATGAATGATATACCGTGTGTATATATGTATATTTATGTTCATTTTGTACATTTCTAAAAATAAAGTTTAATGGAAATACTTAGTAGGCCTATC